TTTTTTTTTTTTTTGTTTTTGTCGTTGCTAAACCTCACATGCCGGGGCGGCCGACATTCATGGCCTGGGTTAATGCGAGACGTTTACTGTAGGGGCTGAGACTCCGCTCCCTTCGAGGCTGAGATACAGTGTGACCTTGACTATGCCCACTCCGCCCATCATGCGCTCGACTATGACGACCATCTGAATGACCTGAGTGCCTGAAGGTGTCTCTCAAAAGCCTGCCAGGGCGGCTGGGGTCATGCATCGTTTCAGGTGTCACAGACCGTCTTTCCCTTGCAATCCGGCCCTGATCAATGCTCTGGCTTCGGGTCCTCCCTCTCCGGCTACCATCTCTTGACAAGTTTCTAGCTCGCCCGCGCTCCTCAGGGCTGGACTCTCGACGCCTTCGTCTAGTGTTCCTGTCACCCGTCCATTCACGTGATCTGGAACGGGTGCGGTCTTTTTCTCCGTCTGAATAAGAATGAGCAGAATGGCTAGAAGACGAGTCGCTATACCGTCTCTTTCTCAGCTTCTCATGGTGAGAAGAGGTTGACTTCGTCCGGTGAGGTTCGTTTCTCGCACCGTATCCTCTACGGCGAGGTGGTGACTGCGAATGGGATCGACTCGTAGATATCGTAGATACAGAGCTCACAGAATGCGAAGACGCTGACCGAGCCCGCTTTGATATCTGGCCTTGACTATCCAGGGGGTCTGATTCATTTATGTCTCTTTTACGGCCCCGCTCTTCTTCTCGCTTTGCCAGAAGATCATCGGCTACGCCTTCCCTAGGAATAGGTCAGTGTACTGCGTAAAAATTGCAGATCCAAGATATTCTGAAATCTTACGAGCGCAATAGATCGTTCGGAGTTTCCGCTGAAAGCTGCGGCCGCAATTTCGGGTTCTGTAATTGCTGCGTGCGCGAAGGACGATATTGGTACGGCCGTTCCTGGGCGGTAACTGTGCATTCATAGCTATAGTGCCGTGCAAGAGGTCAGTCAAATGCTAACTGACGACTGAAGAAGGTACATATCTCGTTTTAAGCATTTCTGACAGAGGGTACTGGCGGTCGCCTTAGTAGGGCCTCTAAGGCTGGGGGCATTCCGGTATCGATTCATGGATCCTGACCGTATACAGAGGGTAGAAAAGGCCGCGCAAAGTTCTATGACAGCTTACAATCAAGTCGTATATCGATATAACCCCGAATTGTATGAATATCAAACCTCTCTCTGTCGCGGCTGTTGATGCAAGGTGTGGGTCGAAGGCACCGTTTAAACGCGCGGCTAACCGCCCACCAGCAGACAAGCGAAACCCGATCAGTTCAGTTTCGTTCCTTCTCAGCCCAAAAGAACAAAAAAAGACCACCATCGTCGACCTTCCCAATTTCCTCCAACTACAGCGCCGTTTCGGCCTAAGCAGAGTCGTCCGTGCAGTACGACTCCTTCCAGTTTGACTGGGAATAGGATATTGCTTCTTTTTCCACCATTTTTTTTTAATCTCTTTTGTCTGTGTAGGAGGAACCCATTCCCCTCTTTAAAACAATCAATGGGTAAAACCATGAACAAATCGCTCTGACCATCGTGTAAGATCAGCCACCTTTCTTGGATCTTCTGCTCTCTGGACGCTATACCTGCTATCGCCTTTTGCACATCTCTTTGCACTACTGAACGGGCGCGGTCCCTCTCAATATCGACCCACTGGACCTAACTTGCAATAGCTTTCCCTATGGCGAATTACGTTTTCAAAAGATATGCCGTCTTTCTTTTTGGGCTTGTGTGAAGTGGGATCTTTGAGTGGCTTATTGTCGTCTTAAATTTTCGGTTTCGTCCTTGAGTGAACCCGCACGTGTGAAGTCTAGCCATTCAATTCTTCTCATCGGGTTTCTTACCATTCTTCCATTCATCTTTTCCTACTCGATAATTACCAACCGAAGGAAGGCCAGAGAGAAGAAGATTACGAAATAGTGCAAGGTGTTGCTTGCTAGTTATGGCATCCGAAAGTTCCCCAGAAGGAGAGCATTGCCTCTCCTTTGCAAAGGTACGTTGATGTTCCACATGAATCGCTGTCGCAAAGTAGATGATGGTGTCGCCCTTCTGACTTGCGCACAAGATCGCTGCTATGGCCTCACAGTCGAGATCGGAAGTTAACGTGGCATTTGATGAGAAGAATGGTTCACAGTCTGCCAGAGAGCCCCCACGCTCAGAATCTCAGGAGTCGAAACACATCCTGCCGAACCAAATGATCTCGGATAAGGATGATGAAGTCAATGCCGTCGATCGAAGTTTCGATAACCTCTCGCGCACATTACAAGATGTTCATATCACAGAGAAGAAGGACCAAGAGAGTCCCGACTCCCCCGCCGAAATTCAACAAAACGGGTCTCTGAAACGGGAGACATCTTTCGAAGATGACCGTACACATTTGTCAAACTCCTCAACCAAACCGACAAGTTTCGACTCAAAGAGTATGGCCTCGGTCACTACCTTCGCAATGGACGAGAAAGACTCATTACGACCTGATGATAGTGCCAGTGTTCAAGCTGTTGACGAAGAGGAATCCCTTTCCGGAATAGCATCTGGTGCACCGAACTCGCTGACTGGATCTGAAACCGGTACTCGCGGGTTCAGGGATATACAGAGAGCCCGCGCAGTACTGCAAACCACCGGCCCTCTATTCACGGACGGCACCCAGCGGCCAAATGGCGCCATAATCTCGGATTCTGTTTCCAGCAATTTTGTTATCGCCAACCAGGAAGTTTTTCGGAGTGGGCAGTCCATATCCATGCATCCATTTCCAATGGAACCAGATGAGAAACTTCTCGAGGCAATGAAGTCCCCGAAAGATCGTCTCTTGATTCTGCAGCTAGAGGAGAAAGTCAGACATTTTATTCAACATTCTAAGTGAGTTGACGTACCATGGCTCGCTGATATCTCGTTTTTAGCTAACATGTCATTGCAGGGAGCAATCCCTAGAACTGCCACCTTCCAATGCGTTTGGGCGCCTGCTTGCCCATAAATTAGGCGATTACTACCATTTAACTCATTTCGTGGACAACAATGTAACATCGGTTCGACTTCATCGAACTCCTTTCACTCGGCTGTAGGGACCCCACCCTTCTGCATGTACGAATAATGTCCTAACATTCATCTCCTTAGACCCACGCCTCTCTCTGCTATACATGCCGCAACAAACAACACCCCACCCCCTGCTATGCCTGCCATGAAAATCATGCGTCGTACCGACAGTGAGCGGCCTTCTACCGAAGGAAGTGCAGCGGCGAGCTCTGCATTTGCTTCAAAGACTGGATCAGAAGCTGGTGATAGTGCAAATGACGGAGAGCGTGGTAGCTCTTCAGCAGGAGCTACCCCGGCCAAGGACCGGTTAACGCTCACCAGGGAAGAACGGGAGGCCAAGTATCAAGAAGCTCGGGAACGGATATTTCGCGATTTCCCAGAAGCAAAGCCTTCAGATAGCGCAAATGGCGAACAAGGAACCAACATGTCGCGCTCGAGTTCGACCAACGGGCGTAAAAAGGCACAGCGGCAAAAGACACCACATGATGACAGCTTTGAAGTCAGGTCTCAGTTCAATGTCTACTACCCTGGGGCTCACTATCCTCATGGACCAGGTCCCTACAATATGGCCGCCAATGACTCTTCTTCGTTCGCCGGCCAGCCATGTATGGTGGGACCTGGTGTAACCCCGCCGGGCATGGGTTATGCTCATAATGGCCAAAATGGGCCCATGTACCCTAGCCATATGAATATGGGCTCCATGCCTCATTATTCAATGCCCGTGTCTCCTCAGATGACCCCAAGTGGACCGTGGCAGAATGGTGCTATACCTCAGCAGTCCCCATTTTCTGGATATGCCTCTATCAATCAGTCACCGGCGATGACATCCACGAAATCCTCACCTGCGTTGAACAGCTATCCTGTGCCAAACGCTGTACAATTTCAGCACCCTCCTCAAGGATGGTCCTCCCCACCATACCACGGAGGCTACCCGCAGTCCTCGCATAGGAACCAACCTCCAATGCCATGGCCAAATTATCCGTCTCAACCAGTCACTCCTACATCCTACCCTTATGGTCAATATCCTGGGCAACCCATGAATACGGGCAATGCAAGTATCCATCCGTTACCGGGAAGCTTCAGTCGGTCCCCATTCAACCCCCAGACACGTTCATTTGTTCCTGGCGGTACGTCCTTGGCACGGCATCCAAGCAAGAATGGTCAGCATGGTATGAATTCATACCCTACTATGCAACCTGGTGTTCAGCCTCAGTGGGCTGGTTATCAAGAAGCTAGTAAGAATTTAGAGGCAACAGCGCCCGTGGCGATCAATACTCCTCGCGGGCTACCCGCGGGTAGTAGAGACTCCATTGCGAAATGGGGGACCCCGTCCCACCTTCCCCCTAAGCCACCGCCATCTGAAGTTCCATCTGAGTTCGATCTGAAACATCGGGCCGGGCCCACGACTACACACCCTTACTCTGGAAACACCCATCCGAATAATAAGAATGGCCCGCTCGTCGTGTCAGGAGGAGCAAGAGGCAACTAGCTGGTTTGTTCGTGGCATTTGATCATGTATGATCCTCCTAGCCTACGCGTTTTGGGGCAGTGACATGTCTTTTTAAAGATAGGGATATTGCTGTTTCATGGCTATCTCTGGCAGATAGACGTGTGAGAGCAAGGTGATGCGCTCAATGTCGTGCTGGTGTGATTTATATGATTCCTGACAGCTTTTTGCTGTCACATTTGCTAGATCCGGGCGGAGAGAAGGTTTGAGATAGTCAATAAGATACATCAATCTCTACGAATCAATCTTCAAATTGTGGGCTTTTCCAGCGTGAGAATGTCGTAAGTTCCATGTACAAGTATGCTCTTTTAACAAAATATGAACACGAATAAACGCCTTCAGTTTTAGGAATTGAGGATCCAAAGCTATCCTTCAGAACCCCGTGATCCCTTAAATCCACATACAAAGGTTGAAGCCATGCGTTCCAGTTTTCAAGCGTATCTCCGCAAGCCCCTGACACATGCTGTGGATAGACATGCAGAGGACTAGTAGCGAAAGGTATTATAACATGAAGACAGCTAGCCAACGCTGCAAATCCTAAAATAAAATATATACAAGAACGGTATGGAAGGGTACCAGAAGGATTCAAGTACTCCATTCATGCAACTGCCGGTCTAGATTAGGATCCGGCGGAGATCTATATTCAACGAGCGGCTGGGCATCCAAAGTATCTAACCCGGCAGCCAAGGTCTATGTGCGCGCGAAGATTGATCCCATCATATACGCCATAACATTAGAGAAGCCAAGCTGCAGAGGCTTCAGGAAGTCAAGTGCGGACATTCTCCCTTGGCTCTCTGGAAAGCGCCTGCAAACAAATCTTGCATGGCGCAATAGTGGAACAGGATGCCGCCTAGGACGGCGAAATGCCAAATATTGTGGCTCCCACCCACGTAGTCGAAAAGACCGGGCCGCCACCGTTCGGGTACCTGAGAAGCGTAAATGCAAGCCCCAACGAAATACACGAGAATGCTTTTCACGACGGGTGCGTAAAAGTACAGACACCAGGCAAAGCCTCGGGTATAGGTCAGTTGTGCTAACGGCGCGAAACCCGTTAGGGCAAGCGTAACGTAAAATGCCACACGAGCCCAGGCAAAATCAGCGCGGTTGAAGGTCGGGTGCCAGGGGAGAATGACACCACCGATTCCGAGGGACATCGTGAGAAGAATGTATGTCCATCGCGAAACGGGTTCACAGTAAAACGCAGTGTATTCCGTCGTCACGATCGAAGCAGCAACGAGCATTGAGATGCCAGTATAGTCCACGCAGGCGAAGCGCTCCATCAGCCCCTGGTTGGCAATGCTATTCATGGTGTGCCAAAGAGTACTGCAGACTAGGCACTTGCATGCAGCAAAGAAGAACACCGCGGCAATCAATACATCCGTCTTGGTACTCAAGTGGAAGTTTGGATTCAAAGGATAGAAGTAAAAGGCGACCGAGAGGACGATGAACAGACCGATCAGGTGAGACCAGATGTTGACCAATTCATTGGAGAAGGTAAACATGGACGTGAAGCATTCTACCTTAGAATGCGTGAACCGATATCCTTCCAGAATGTGCGGGTTCACACGCCATGGATGTGGAAGGTCTGCATAGGCAATCAGACGCTTCTCCTGAGCTAGCGCAATGGCCTGGTCGATATTTTCACGCAGAGCATCCTTCGCTTTCCGGGCGCGTTCCATTCCCTCATCGACCACTTCTCGGGCGTGGACCAGCTTCGAATCCATAGCCTTCCACCCGTCATCGAGGGTGCCGTAGAACCCACGGTCTCGAACCGCATGCGCCCGAGCTTCCAACTCCGACAAGAACGACTCCATCAAGCGAACGCCCGCTTGTGCCTTTTGTTCCAAAGTTTCTTTGGTTGCGAGAGCATCCTTGTAGCCGTCTTCAAGCGTCTCCACTAGGATCTTGGCCCGCTTCTTGCCTCCGCCCATGAGTTCCCCAGAAGCGTAGGAGCAGGAATCTCTAACCGCCTCAAGCGTTGCATAACCTCTGCGTAAGCTGGCATCGATCTGTACCATGTGCGAGCGGCGATAGTCCTCAAGCCAATGTAGCCGTCTCTCTAATTCGGCCAGGAACAGTTCCACCTAGAGAATCGTTAGGATGTGAAGCCGAAGAGGAAAGAGCAGTAGAGATCAGTACCCTCAAAAAGACTGCGTCGGCATCATAGTCACAGGACAGTTTTCTTGCAGCATGGAAGGAATGCCTCCGCCGACGATCCCGGACCAAGGCTGTCTCCTCGGACGGGGTGGCATAAGCGCTGGAGACCGCAGTTTCATCGAGATAAGACTCGAGGGTCACTGATTGAGCCGAACAAGCCATGATGTACCCCTTTCAATTTTTTTTTTTTTTGTTATTTATTTTTTGTCCCTTCCCTTTCTTTTTGCCCGTTTACCCACTTCCTCAGGGGGTTCCGATCAAATCAGCATGACCTGGAAGGTAGACAAAACATTAGATCGTCCGAAGTGGATTTATGTTTGGGTCTCGGGTATCGGAATCTCGGCATTCATTCCAGGACGGACTTTACTTACAAGAGGTAAGGGGAGTGGAGATTCTCTGGTGGGACGAAATCAGATTCGATGTCGCAAGGCTTCAGGATCGGTTGATTGCTGTTATGATTCGCAAGGTGAAAAGACCGACGTGAGGTGGGAGAAGAAGGAATGAAGAGGGAGGCGGAGGTTGGAGAGAAAAAGGGAAGGAGGGAGTGACTTGGTTGAATGAATGAACAAGTTGAACGAAAGAGTGGGGAAGAGCAAAAAAGAGTTGAGATCGGAAGAAATAAACAAATCAATTAAATCCAATAATTCAATTTCACCACCAATAAATCATATCCTCTTGGGACGAGAGCGTCATTCTTCTAATTAATTATTATTATTTATTTTTGTTTTTTTCGATCCCCAGCAAGATTTCTACGAATTATAGTAAATTGATGTACTACATTACATGTACATGTAAATAAATACACAGGACTGGAATCGTTCGGCCCATCAGCAATCGCATTGTCCCCACGTTTCAGTTCTTATCGCCGCCTTCTTTCCTTTCCCTCATGAAATTCATTCTTCCTTTCCTCCTCCCAATCGCCACCACCACCACCACCACCGCCAAATCACCGTGTCCTCTGAGACCACACTTGCCTCCCTTGGCCCAGACTTCTTTCGATTAAAAGTTTAACACCATGGCGGCTATGGCGGTTCGCGACATCGTGGTGGATCAGTCTCTCCTACCTGTGCTCAATAGCAGCGCCGTGACCCGTGAACAATGTGACAAGCTCCTCGCATTACTTGACCCGACCGGGGATACCGCATCGTCGAATTCCCAAGAAACCATCCTCGCAGCATCGAGAGAACAGAAACAACTCTTCGCGCTTCTTGCTCGACTCCGCGGTCTGAATCGTGAAGCCATTCTCCGTGTCCGTGAAACCAAACAATCGACGGCCGAAGCTCGCCAGGAGATCGACCGGTTACACCTTCAGCTGCAGAACCTCTACTACGAACAAAGACATTTGACGGGGGAGATTGCGGCGTGCGAGTCTTATGAGTAGGTGGATGCCGACGGCGAATTTTGGTCACAGGGATCTCGCTAACGGCGTCGTTCCTCCAACCAGTCACAAATATCTGTCTCTTCCTTTAATACCGGTCGAAGAGTTCCTCACTCTTTTCCCCGAACACAGAGACTCCGACCCCCATGAGCTCATGATTGCTCGCATCAATCATGAACATGCAGAGCGAGAGAAACTAGAACAGGCGCGCCAAGCGCTTCTGAAGCGGAAACAGGCTCTGATTGCGGAGAATAATAAGCGCAAGGAAGACTTGGCCAGTTTGGATCAAGATCTGGAAAGGTTCATTGACGTATGTCTTGACTTGTCACCCCCTTGGCTTTCTTCCCTCCCAATCATGGGCAATGGTTTCAATTTACTAATCTGATCATCTCAATAGGCTGCTAAACCAATCCAGAAGATTTTCGAGAAAGAGTACTAAAAAACTAAAAGTTATGTTGATCGTCTTGCATTGAAGTTAGCTGGTGACATCAGGCGCCTTGGTTGAGATACCCCTATAGTTCTGTTTTACAGGGAGGTTTTAGTACGAGACGGATTTAATGTTTAAAGGGATGTTCCGTGCGGTTCTGATAGTATCTCTTGTCTTTCAACTACTCTATCTAGAATGAATGCATTGCGATACATTGCGGTCTGCGGGTTTGTAAACGATATAACGCTGGACTACCTGCAGAAACATTACTGGCAAGTACCATAGTTTGGGAAATAGGAGCAAGAAGACAAAATAAAAAGGGAAATCTCAAGAAACGGTGAGACACAGGGAAAGGGTTGTAGCATTTGGGGGGGAATTTCGTCGTTGTTGGACGTTCAAAGCCGAACTGCGGCTTTCTGGTTGATCACCCCAAGCCTGTGCGCGTTGATTGATTTCATCTTCCCCGACAACTTGTCCTCCGCCGTCACATCCCACTCATCACCAGCACATTTCGTGTTTCGGTGACTCGCTACCCCCAACGAGAAAAGTTGCTTGTAAAAAAAGCATGTCCTGGTCATGACTAGCAAGAATGAAGACCCGGGGTCTTCACAGACTACCTCCACGCCCACGAACGACACGATGAGCTCCAACACCGGCGCACGACGTCTCCCCCCGCCCGAGAAACCTGAGGCTATCCAGACCCGGTTTAAGGTCATTGCCGCTTTTTGGGCCGTCATTATATTCCTGGGGTTTCCAATATGGTGGAAGACGACATCTATCTACCGGGCCCGACTGCCCATCCAGAACATGGTCGAGTGGGCGGATGGAAAGGTACTTTAGCGTTCACCTTCACTGCTGCAATGTACCAATTCTGACTGGTTATCACCCTACAGACCTGTCGTCCAGTTTTCCCCCTTGAGATTCACTTTGAAACGCCGTCCCTGCCAGAGCCAGAGGCACACCATCTCTTGCGGACTACTCAGCACACTCTCGATGATCTGAACGAATTCTCCGCCCATCACCTTCGCCTGAAGCTTTCAGAAGAGAACACCGTCGCTAGCCATGAAGACATGCTGGAACAACTGCAGCCGGTCCTGGATGGAAAAGCCGATACTGCGTTGACGGTTCGACTGCTACCTCAGGAGGATTTGGCGGCACCTCGGTCAGAGCTTCATCCGGACACGACCCGGCTCGACGTATATTACCCCCCAAGCCAGATCCCGCTGCCTTCCGCATCAAACCCGCCCTTATCAGCTTATATCGCTGGAAAGTTGCAGGATCTATTCACAGAAGAAAAGGCCATCATTGCGCAGGTATTATCCGACAACAATGTCGGGGGCGCCAGCACACTCACGGCTTCCTCGTCGAATAATCAGCAGCAGCCTTCCGCCATTCTCAATTCCATCTCCCCGCAGCTCGCGGAGAGCATCACCAGGCGTCTGCGAAGGTCTATGAAATATGCGGAAACGTATCACCTAGCCTTTTCTCTGTTTACCCCTGGGTCCGAACCTTCCTCGTGGGACGTTAAGGCCGCGGTGGAAGAGTACATATCACCGCTCCTGCAGGCCTTCGCGCCCATAAGCAATTTCACCATTGATACCCAAGTTCAGCTCTACGCGACTTCTGCTCCGACTGCACCACTGCCTGAGTATGACGAAACACAGGCTGCTTGGACGCTGAAGAAAGAAGATCTCAGCGCTTTCATCAACGCGGCTGAATGGCCCTTAAGCCCAAGTATTGGGAGTGGACCGACCATCAACTTCATTCTTTACGTTCCTGCGCCGTCACAGTCTCCCATGGTCGTGAAGGAGAGCAGCGCAACTAGCTGGATCATTCCTCAATGGGGTGGTGTTTTCCTCTTAAACCCCCCTCTGTCGACCGCCGATCATTCATCCAATCCACCACACCTGTCTCAGGAGACTCTTCGTCCCGCATTCCTAACTTTCTCTCATCAACTCCTTACGCTTCTCGGCGCTCCCGCCACGCCGGCGTCTCTTCCCTTCCGTCTCCAAACCCTCATCCGGATCCGTGCTGCCACCCTCCTTCTCTCCGCCTCGTCAACCATGGGCTCCCTTGCCCGTTTGACCGAGTCCCTCCCTTCCATTCCTATCCCAGCTAATGTAGCGACATCCGTATCAACGACTCTGTCTCATCTCGCATCCACATGTGAGCATCTCCGCGAAGGTCGTTTCCAAGCGGCTCTCGCGGACGCTCGGGTGGCCGAGACAGCGGCAGAGCGCAGCTTCTTCGAAAAGAGCATGGTGGGCCAGGTTTATTTCCCCGATGAGCATAAGGTAGCTGTTTATTTGCCCTTATTGGGCCCGATAGGTGTCCCTCTTATCGTAGGGCTTCTAAAGGAAGTCAAGCGGGTTGTTACTGGTCTGAAGGCCAAAAAACAACAAACATAGGCTTGCCCTCGCTATCTAATTGTATCATCACAGAGCTTTTCTCTTTTAATAGGAAATTTCACTTTCACATATGGGCTATTACCGGCTGATATGTCAGTTGACAGTAGAACAAAAGGTTGTGTCTCAAGTACAGCGGAATTATAACGAAGCAGGCCAAAATGTCAGAGTAAGCCAAAGCGTTCAGATAGAAAATAACTTCAGACACCGGTGCGCCTTATTTATTTGCTAAGAGAAGTCATACACGAGAAAAGCAAAATGATAAGCAAAAGAAACCTGATTATTATACATTCCGTGTCGTTGGTAGGTTGGTTCTACTTGCTTCAGGAGACTCGGCTACCTTGAAGCATGGATCACCTTTTTTATTCATGAATCCGACCCGATCAAACATCTCCACAAAACCCTTGTCCGGTTCAATCGAAATGTAATGCCCTCGTTTCTGCGACCCTGTGCCCGGAAGCCCACCTGGAGGAGTGTATACCCTGATACTCTCGGTACTGAGTTGCCGTTTGACCTGCGGCGGTGGAGTAACGGGTACCTTGGGTATATTATCCATGTCATGGACGGCGGTTTTGGGGGTCGGGCCGAATAGACTCTTGACCCTAGTTCCTGTGCGGTGGAGCACTGAGCGTGAGGAGCTCCGGCGGGAGCGACCAAGGAGGAAGTCAGTACGGTAGGAGCTCTCTTCGGATGGAATGGGATGAGATATGCTGAATGGTGTATTGTTGTATGCGCTATCATGACAAGGACGCTTCCCGTGAGCGTTATTGCGCCCATTTCGACGTCTTCTCCAGCAGAACATTGCCGCCGAGGCAAGTACGGCTCCAAAGATAGCCCCCGGGAAAAAGCCGGCTATAATGGCTTGAGTTGGAAATGAAGGACATGCTGCTGGAACCGAAGTTGAGGTCGAATTCGCTTCGGTCATGGGGGAGTTGGAAGCTGAATTCGCATCAGAGGGCGATAGTGTTGTTGGCTTCAATTGATCAGTTGTGGGTAAAACATCTGATACCGTGGATGACACTGAAACTATTGACGATGTCCCAGTGGTTGTCGATGTAGGATTCTCACCGAGGGCTGTAGTGGAGGAGATCTTGTTGTCCATCTCACACAGCTTGTTTCCTTTGCATTTATATCCGAACGGACAGCATGAATTGCCACACTTGGGCAGCCGATCATCGAGTCTGATGGTCTTGACCGGGTTTGTTGGGTGAAGGGTAGCATTTTGCAGCTGTACGTCGCAATTGATGGGTTCAATGTATGTGCACGTTTGACCCTTAGGGCAACATATGGCCGAGCTTGCATTGTCTAGGCTAATGCAGGTTGAGGAAGAAGGACAGCAAAATGAGCCTGGCAGCCCAGCAGCTCCACATTTCTGGTATGAACTTGGACATCTGTCTAAATCCCGTAGTGCCAAATGGAAGGCATGGTTCGGCGTGATCATTGCAGATATTACTGATACGAGGAACAGTAATGGAGGTTTCCCATATACTAGATCAGCGAAAGTTGCTCTCGCCATACTGGCTATGTTAATAGCTCCTCGCGGGCGCAAGTTGCAGGGTAGTCGTCCTTGAAAGGAAGAAGAACAGAAGGCTGGTCGATGTCAGGTTAAGGCAGCTATAGCAAGAAGATGAATTGACAAAGACGGAGCATCGATGAGAGGTGATTCCATTGATGGGCTTGGAGGAAGATTAAACAACGAGATACAGACAAAGGATGCCCTCCTTTGAGATCCGCATACTGAATTAGATAAGGCCAATCAAGAGCTCATACAGCGTAAGCGCTGGATGCTGCCTAAAATACCTCTTCTGCTTCTGCTGCAGGGCCACTGGTCTGCAAGCGCCGGGGTCCCAGAATAGTGACGAGGTGATGGGTCTCGGCGCAGCTGGGTTCGATGCGAGTGGACGGGATAGGCGCCAGCGACCCAGACATCATGAGAGAGTTAATCATAGCACGACCTAGAAGCTCTTGTCCGAAAGGCTAATCTTCGTCAGAGTCGAAAGACGTTGAAGAAAGAAGCAAGATGAAGAAACGGGCTGGATGGGGAGGAGTAGATCCTCGGCTCCTGATTGGATGGTTACGGGACCAGCTTACTTCATCGGCACTAGTCCCGAAGGAGCAATGTCCAATCTTGCCCGGCGATGGAAATTCTGCGGTTTTGCTGCTGCTTCTCCGTGTGAGCATCTAAACTCGTCAATTGCCAACCATCATCATGCTTCCCCGACTCCTCCGGCCGCAGAGCACGCTGCGTGCTGTCTCTTCCCTCACACAGGTGAACCATGTCCGATCTCTCAATGGCCACATCGCTCCGATTACTGATCGCGTGTTACGCTACAGAAACCCGCCTCCGCTCTCCCACGCTTCCAGACTCGCGGACTGCATCGTGTGCCCCAGTTGACTCACGATACCCACTTCAAGAACAATGGCATTCCGGAGCTGTTATCACCAGAGGCTTTCGACTTCGCTTGGACGCAATACCAGACCCTTTTGATTGACAAGTTGAATCTTCTTACACAGGGTGAGCTTCATTCTCCCGAGCGGCCGATAGAGCGCGGACCCAAGTCATTCCTGATTTCGGAAGAACTACAAGTATACGGATTGTATTTTAACATGGCTTCGTTGCAGATACCGTCGATGCGGATGCGAAACCTGGAGAACTGCTGGTCAAGTACTCCCGGCGCCCAGAGATGGCCTCCGTATTCAACTACGCCTCGATGGCTCATAACAACCATTTCTTCTTCAACTGCTTGGTAAGTTTGTGGAACTGCATCGTATAACTACGGACAACGATTTAATATCGCCCTCTCAATAGTCGCCCACCCCTACTCAGATCCCAGACAAGTTCGCCAAGGACATCGTTGATACCTGCTCCTCCATCGAATCCCTGAAGCTTGACTTCCTTGCAACTGCCAATGCTATGTTTGGCCCCGGATTTGTGTGGCTGGCCAAGAACCTGGAGAGGGAAGGATTGATGCACATCTTCTGTACCTACAATGCAGGCTCCCCTTACCCGGCCGCTCACTCCCGCCGGCAGCCCGTTGATATGGCTACGCACTCCCCCGACGCTCCATTGGGCAACCAATTTGCTGGAGCGATGGGCGCTCACTCCGCGAACCAGAAGAGCCTGGCTCCTGGTGCCGTCGATGTTCAGCCCATTCTCTGTGTCAACACATGGGAGCATGTATGGATGATGGACTACGGTATCGGTGGAAAGGCTGAATACCTCGAGCGCTGGTGGGATCGCATTAACTGGGAGGTTGTGTTCGATAATTACAACGCAGTCAGCTCGATGAAGGGCACACGGCATGCGGCCAACCGGAACCGCAGCCTGAGCATGCTATGAAGGAAAAATGTTCTACAGGGCGGATACATATGTGATTCCCCTCCTTTCATGTCTTGATAATTGTATTATATACTACATGGTTTGGCTGTTCAGGGTTTCTTTATATCTGGGTCTAATTGTACAGCGATTGATCGCAAAATAGAAAAAGAATAAGACTCAACATAGAGACACCGCGACGCTGTAACGATCTATGTCTAGTCGTAACCATGCGCCAAACTCCACGAAGCACACCATATATGTAAATGCGAAACCCCCCCCCATGCATCCCCAATACGCAGCAGCGCATATCTCCAAACACTTCCCGATCCCTCAGGCAGACCCGACGGAGGAACGACCTCAACTACCTCCTTCCCTCGACATCTCTAATCCTCTTCTCAAAAGCCTCAATCATAACACCAGCCATCTGCCCCTCGACAGCGCTCATCATAGCCGCATGCAACTGATTCCGGAACTCAAACTGAATTTCCAAGTCAACTTTGGTCATCGGCTTCTCACTCTCCAACGGCACCAACTCCCACTTCGTGCTCAAATATTCGAAAATACCCTCATTCGCCCCAGGGAAGTTCCCACCTGCCTGTCCGTCTTTGGAATTAATCCCGAACTTGGCCCCGCTGCGCGCTTCGACGATCCACCGACTCCGATCGCAATCGACCCGAGATGTGAACGTTTCGCTCAACGGCCCGTAGCCGACAGTCAGGAAGGCGCGGGTGGGATACCCTGTTTCCGGATCGCGGTGGGTCACTGTTGAGGCTGTGAGGAAGGGGAGGAACTGGGAGTAGGATTCCACCGAGGCGATCACTTTGTAGAGGGATTCCGGGGCGTAAGGAAGGGCACGGGTGGCGGTAAGGGTGCGGCCATTGTTGTTGTTGTTGTTGTTGCCGTTACCATTGTTTGAGAGTAGGGAGGCTATGGAAGGGAGATGGAAGGATCGGAGTGTTTCGCAGTTTGCTAGATACGGCGTTCTGGTGCTTGGTGATGTTGATGGTATCGTTGGTCGTTGGAGATATTGCGACGGGGTTGCGAGGTTTCGCGATGAGGGGTTTATGCGACGACTGAGATGTCGCGGGAGCATGGATGGTCTCATATTGTGTTCCCGTGGGAGGATCAGCGACAGTGATGTTGGGTCAAGAGTTTCGAGAGGAACTGTCGGAGTTGTTGTTGATTTTTGGGACTTTTTTTTCCTTGTTCCGGCTCGGGGAGTTTTATCCACGCGGGCTCGGGACGTGCCGAAGGTTCTTCTAGCAACTACTTTACTATCTATAAATGTACTATCATACTATGTAACAAGTACGTAGCGAACTATGTATATTGACAGCGTGAGATACTTCGTTTTAATTGAGATATACTCTTTTCGAATGGAAATCAATGTGATCGCCTGTTCCACTGACCATGTCATGTTACTGCTGCGAATTACTATCTACGATATCACTAAACGCAGGATCAGGACACCAGAGGCTGTTGGTCTTTGAAGGCTGTGTGGGGCCCTGAACTTGTTGGTCCCACAGATTCTATCGACGGGTCAGACCTGAGTGCTATAGAGATGAGATCCGGCTTCATTGAGCTTACCCAGTCGAGATTAGAAGGGGCATCAAGCATCCCTTCGATCACGTCCAACGATGTGAAAGGCGATTCTATAATATCCAGCCTAGGTATCTCGCTCGACGTAGCAACGGAGTATGGTGCGTTTGCCGCACTCAAGCTCTCATACGATGGAGGTGGAGCTAAAAATGGCATGAGCTGTAGTCGTGAAAGTACTCGGTTAATGGATTTCCTTACCGGTGTGCATATCAACCGGTCGGTCATCTGGGTTGCCAGCTGCCGGTCGTTTAATTGGTTGTGTTGTGCTCAAAACACCTTTCTTAACCCTACGAAGCATAATTGTCAATGCAGCATATGCTTTCTGTGCATCTGTCGACCGTCGGCGACTTTGCTCAAAAATTTGATGGGATGTTTCTAAGCTCGTTAGAAGGTCTTCACGTCCTTTGATAACGACCGTTACATCGCTGTTCATGATCGGGTCCGCCGGAGGATCATGGGATAACTCTAGACAGATGATCATCGCAGCAAGCAGATAGTCGGCATTCTGAAGTGAATTTGGGAACTGTCTGTCGCGATACAGGATTCCTCCAGGCTGAGTTTCATGGTGCAGGTCTGCTTGATGGCGGAGTATCTCCTTGGATGCACTCATGCACACCCATCTCGAATATGCATATCGGAGATTACTGTGAACTTCACCTAAGTAACGTCGGTGGAGCACACAGCGAGCTTTTTGATACAATAGCTCCAATGTGTACCGCCGGAGAATCAGGTCTGATGGGTCTGCGAACGATTGATCCACTGGCCGTATTCGAAAGTTAAAAGGAACAAGACCATAGACTTCCTCCAACCGACGGTCAATCTCAAGAATTTCGTCGTAGGTCACGGATTTCCGCGAATATGCAAGATCAGAGATTTTACCAAACGCAGCCATGATTCTCGATTTCGCTCGAATATAGGACGCAGTAGTGAGCTCAGACTCTGGTCGCGATGGTGGCAGGTGCGTGGTACCTTCGCCGAAGTCTTCGTCGCATATATTGCGCGGTAGCTCGACATCATCTTGCCAGTCCTGTATCGTACGTGGCAGACCAACTTGAAACGAGATCAAGGTGTCGAGTTGACGCATAGTCGCCCAAACACGTCTCCTCATTTCGCCTTCATAAGCGGAGATGCTGGGGAAATGCCGCGGATCACGATGATATCCCGTCCGCATCGCTAACCTAATAGTGATTCCAAGGAGGAAAGAAACGCTGACTTGGGCATCATTGCTTCGATAAAACTCTCCTAAGGTATAATAGAAAAGTGCCTCGACCTTATACTTTCCAGGCTGCGTGTAATTTGACTGGACAAGGCACTGTGCGGCTCGCTTCCTGAAGGTACTGATGATGTACCCAGAGTCTTCTAAGTAGACTGGTAAGGGCTCCCCCAGACGTTGTTGAATCGTAACCGACAGAGTGAGGATAGCGTACAAAAATGCTAGCCACGAAAGAGACACAGCCTGTGGAATTGACCAGAATAGATTATACTGCGTACAAGATTATCAAGTGTTCGCTGCTACTAGTATGCCAGATAGGGGTTCATACCTCTTTTTGAAACGTGGGAAAATGAATGGTGGCTATGAATTAGTTAGTCATTTTAGTGACTACACCTGAGGTTCAAACACTACAGAGAGATCTGAGTACATACATAACACAGGTTCTTTGCTATTGATGAATTGTGCTACAAGTCGATCTGTCACCGGCCGTGGCGGAATGTCAACTAGCAAGTCTTCTTTGCTCACTGCTTTATTCAATCCTAATAGAAGAGTCGGGGATGGTGTGTTGAGGTGGCCGTCGTCAAGCGCTTCGTCATCTGAGATACCGTTGTCTTCTTGCAGGTATTCTCGAACGCCGTTAATCTGCGAGTGTCTAGTTAGAACAAGATAAATAAGGGGGAAATAACAATGGAGACATTGAAGTTCACTGACTTCCTCGAGTATAGCAGTCCAGTGAGCACCGTCAATATAACTCGTTCCAGTATTTTCCACTACCACCTTACTAGACGGGTCCAGAGGAGACTCCTTAGGCTCACTAGTAGAAGGCGTCCTTAGGGTTACTCGAGCGTCAGTTCCCCGGCTCGTAGACGACCCCTCATGTTCCTCTGGCCTACGAATGTCATGATTTTCTGCCAGACTCTTTTTCTGAGTCAATGATAGAATCAAATTCTCGAGATGCTGCAGGCGGTCCTGGACAAGACTTGGACTCGTTCGGCCATGCGAAGCCCTCCCTCGAGGACCCCGACCGACAAAGGTGCAGGAGAGAGCTTCGCCTCTCTTCTTGCAGTTCGTGCACGGATATGTACGGCAGCACTTGAGTCTGACACGAGCCATTAATACTAGGTAATCACGTTTTTTTGGGGGGGTGCTGAGTTGAGGGCTTACTTTCGGCTTCTGCAGGCTGTACAAGAGAGCTGGACTCTAGTTCTCTTTTTCTCTGTGGATGACAGCGAAGTTGTGTAAGTGTCTCTAGGAGTGAAATCCGTCATATCTGTAATATATAGTATACGGTGTCCCGATCTTCCAAAAGTTGATTAGGAAAACTAGGTTGCTGGAGATAGAGATCGAGGAAGAAGACATGTTGGGTGTACGCAGTAAGACGTGACTTCGGTCTCCGTCCCGTTATCTCCGTCGCTTTCCACTTGAGCCAGATAAATTCATATTGCCACCACCAAAGGTATATGATACTTGAAGATGCTCTGAACTATACAAGTCTACTAACAATAAATGGGTTAGGGTCTCAGTTTTGAATCTTACGAAATATTTTCGGTATTATCCTTCTGCATACACTATAGTGCGACACTGACAGTCTTCGGCTGCCGGCACCGGCGATACCCACTCCAGGCTAATTAGTACTCGATACTAGCAGTTACTATCGTAACTTCCTGTTCGATCCATGATCGACTGCACTATCCGTGTTTAGGCATTACCCAGTCCAGTTATATGACATGTATGGAGTAAGGAGCAAGCTTTTATGTTCCTGGGAAGCAGGCGATTTGACTTACTGGCCAAGTTGAGGGCAGGTTTGACATGGGTGGTCCACCTCCACGACGTCGACCCTGGCCTTGACTTATATTCTCCCAATATCGCAGGATTCAGAACCCTGGAGGACGATGCAGGTGTCAGCATGAGCTAGAGACGTGGCAAGTCACGATTCTGGGTTGTCGGGACCGAGGCATCGTCTTCGGCCGACTAGAGAAATTAGCCATTAGCAATGGCTGTTATACGGTCCAGGATCTAAGCCTATGAGAACTTCGCTAACTCAGGCCCCACGTCGTGGATTAATTAATGCAATGTGATATCAGTGTTACGCGCCGCGATAGATTATGTGCTGCAATTTCCAAGACTCGTCGGGGTGGTTTTGCGGATTCTTATAGGATGGCCCTGGAAAAGGATTCCACCGACGTTGAACTGTTGGCTGTTCTGGTCCCTCTTCAGCGGATTTTCTGCTGGTCACACATCACACACGCCAATCCCTAGGGCATTTTCATGCATTTCTGCGCATTCACAGCAGCTTGTGCTCGTCGCTGGTGGGTCGACTGATAGAGACTAGGAGGTTAACGGTCTTGACTTGTAGATTGCTATATATAGCTTCGCTGCACAAATCTCCTCTATAGCGTCGCCACTGTTCATCCTTGCTATGCTAGTTGCTCGTTTAGGCTCTTCGACAGTTATCTAGCGCGGGGTCCTCTGCACCTGGATGCACCATTTGTACCGAGATTCCGAGTGTATGTAGTATGGCGCGAACCGGTTATTCTGGCACTCCAGAGGGGGGCTGTAAGCAACTGGACAGGCGCTTTTTTGAGGAATCTCATATCTTCGGACCAAGTACAGTATTTCAGTCCCCCCAAGTATGATCATGATACTCCAACGTTTTGCTCATCTTTATCGCTGTTCTACCCGGAGGAAGTGGAGTTCATCTGTATATACTGCGAGCCCCTCGTGGACTGTAACCTTTAGCACTAGTTACCATTATCAGGCATCCAAAATGACGTCAGATCCTTGAGACGACTCGCTAACCATAGTGAGGGTGCTGTCGTTTTGATGGCACCTGCACATGTCACGTTGCGTGTAGTCGTATGATATACGCAAGCTTTCTACTACCTGTATATTACAGCCCGGGGCACTGGTGAAGTCACTCTTGTGCTGGCTGTGCTCAAATTTTCACGAGCTGGGGTGATAAGCATGTTTGTATCGAAACTCGGGATTGCAAGCGCCGTGAACAGACATTTCGGGGGGGGAAGACTGACCCAAACCACAACTGGAGGGACGAAGTAGACATTGTACAACAGCGACATATCAGCGGCACACCATGATTGGTCTCACTCGTTGTCCAAGTTACAATCCTGCCAACTGTGTTTTCTGTCGATCTGACAGGGTACTGATGGTAACTGTGGTACATTTTTGTCGCCTGATGGCCCTTCGGCCATGTTCCAGAGCTAGTCAGAGGAGTCTTCGTTCTGCAAGTCAGGAAATAACCAACAGGCTTCTTCGTATCCAAGAGGCTTTGCAAAGAGTGCGAGAAGTTGCTGGCATTGACAAGCACATTGTCACTGATACTAGTACTTTATCAGTTCTGGCAACCCAGAGGACTGGTACTATGTATATATATTAGCGGTAAGGATAAGCACAATAGATAAGTCAACTAACTTTTCGAAGGATCTATAAGGAATCTGTGTGCTCACTGGATCGCAACAAACTAGGTTGAGTTGTGCTAACAGTTTTGATGTAAATCGATGGCTCCAATCAATACTGTGCTCTCCATGACAGCGATATACTAGGTAAACACCGTGTGGTAGCAATATAGATATCTGTAAAACCACTAACGGTATTGTGAGAGTTGTGGGAGTGGCACCTGCTATAAATGGCTCTGTTATTGTCGTGCATTATATAGTAAACACCATACTTTTCAACTGCTCTGCCAGTTAAGCAATATTAACTCGACCATTTTGACCAAATTTGTCTGGATTTCCCGGAAGTGGGTAAGCACAAGTAAATATCCGAGTAGTTCACGAAAAAGACTGAAGAATAGAAACAGATTTGGAATTAGGATCCACTTTATTTTTTTTATTTCTTTATTTTTCTATTTTTTTTTTTTTTTTTTTTTTTTTTTTTTTTTTTTTTTTTTTTTTTTTTTTTTTTTTTTTTTTTTTTTTTTTTTTTATTTTTTTTGCTGGACCACTCTCTGCCCCTCTCTCACCTAGGATTATTCAGGATTGTCTGCACAGGGTGGATCAGTGTTGCCTTGCACAACAGGGGTCTTTACCAGCGAGAAGCATCAGATGTCTCCACCATCAGGCAAGTCATTGCAACCTGACCGGTTGTATTAGCAATTGGCAGTGTGTCCACACAGATTTCGCTTTTTCTTCTCTTTTTTTTTTCTCCCTCCCCTCCTTTTATTCTTAATTAGTTATTTTTTCCTCCCTTCGCCCACTTACTTATAGTTCCAAAACACATTTCCAAGCTTCTTCTACCATCATCATAACATGGTGGTGGTGGTGGTGCCACCACCACGCCGGCGTTATGTTTGTTTTAGTTGACTATAGAAAAGAACAAGTACATGTAACTCAACCACCATTAATTGGTGCTCCCTGCAAAGTATGCAGTAGTGTAATGATTGTTCCTGCAGGGATAAAAAATAAAATAAAAACTCCTTCAAGCAACGCGGGGTAAGTGAGGCGATATGAATGGCTGAAACCACGAATTCTGCAGACTGACTGATAAAATCATCGAAATCCACTTGACACTCCCGTGATTCCAACGTGACATTGAATGCTCTCCTGATATATTTATATATCTTTGCCATTTCTTTTTCCTTTCTCACGAACTGTATACTTGAAGTGCCCTTCGTTTTAATTATCTGATTTTTTAATAATCACTGGGCATACTAAAGACTGGTTCTTAACCATTTCACTCTCGTCAATTGCCCATCATGCCTTTCATCGAGTGCTCCTCCCCACCCATCAAAATGGGCAACCCCCGAATTGATGCAGCTTCCCAGGGAAAACTGCTGCCTACTATCATCGACGAGCTGGCTCGCGATGAGCCCAATGGTCTCTGGATAGAATACCCTACCTCCCCAACGGATTTGAACGCTGGATATAGCCAGATTACTTATGCCGAACTTGCAAATGCCGTGAACGGTGTTGCCAATTGTATTACCAGTGCTTTGGGAAGAGACAATACAGGAGAGTCACTGGCCTGGTTAGCGCCCAATAGTCCCTTGTGCTCTATCACGCTTATTGCGGCCATGAAAGCTGGCTTCAAGGTGTGCAAGTCATAGACATGTATATAAAGCCGTGCCCTTGTCGCTGATCACTGAGAGCTCTAGTTGTGTTTGATGTCAGAAAGAAATACAGTGGCTCAGAATCACAAGCTATTAGAGGACGTCGAATGTTCCATCATAATCACGACAAATGCGGTCTTTCCCCAGGTTCGAGCCACGTTGCGTGGAAAACAGATCTCCGTTATAGAGCTGCCGCTATTTGAGCAGCTCCTCCATGAGCACCAAAGAAGATACGAGTATAATAAGGAACTGAAGCTACTGTACTACGAGACCGCTTTTATCATCCACAACCCGTGTTGCACAGGCAAGTTGTCAAAAAGCAATAACGAAGCTAAGGGTGCATCAGCTGATTGATCCTAGGATCCCCGAAGCCCATGTTGCTATCTCACAGTTTCATCGCAAATATAGCACGTAGTATTGGGCTCTCTGCCCCAGAAGGCTATGAAACTCAGAGCTCCATGCTTGGGAACAAGAGATGCCTTCTGCTTTGTCCTCTGAGCGATGTAAGTGCAGTGGCTATACTCTCTTTCCGCAGTATTTTGCTGACAGCTCTCCAGCCGGCTGGCGTACACTTCGGTGTTTTAAATGCTATCTTTAATAAAACAACAGTCATCCTACCCCTCCCTGAGGTGCCTCCAACAGGCCGAAGTCTGGCTCAGACGCTCCGGCATATTGACGCAGATTGGGCAGTTCTAGCCCCATCAACCTTAGAAACCATGTCACATGATGCGTCGTCCCTAGAGGAAGTTGCAAGTCGTCTCGAATGCCTTGTGTTTGCAGGGGGTTGTCTTGCTAAAAGATATGGCGACTTGATCGCTTCCAAGATCAAGCTTATGCCCTCGCCACATTCACCTGAAACGGGGCAGCTTCCCACGATATATCGACATGAACATGATTTCAGATACGATTGGAACTACTTTCGGTTCCACCCTGCTGTGGGTGCAAGATTTGTCCCGAAGTCTGCGGGCGTACATGAGCTCGTGTTCAATAGAACACCTGCCGTCGAGCTGTATCTGCCGATTTTGGCCAACTCATACGAATTTCTGACGCAAGATTTATACGCCAAGCACCCAACTATACCAGACACATGGACTCATGCACCGCAAGTGATACCTTTGATTCATGGAGAAAAGCCAGAGCCTATCGACTTCAACAGAAATGTATGTAGCTTTTCAGATATCTCAGCTACTCTCGGGCAGGTTCCTAGAGGTTAATGAAGTTTAGCGACTGCAATATTCAGCTTCCTGAACCATTACATATCGGGAACCCCTTAAATGGCTCTAAATCTACTCGTATACCCGTAATCCAGAAGTTGAAGGAGTTTGACATTCCCCCCCACGTACGATGTTTAGATGAGAACAATCGAGACCCATAACAGAAAGAAGGACCACAATATTTCATTCAGCCGACCTGACCTCCGCCTTCATCGCAACTGTTCCGCCAGGAGCAATGATTTGCACTGTTCCTATACCAGATTCCTCTTCCTCATTGAGCACAATCTGGTACTCGTCCTCTGCGTATAACGGACTCGTCGCCCGGTACGTAATGCTCTCTGGGAGCATCGAAGCAGGATCGGCCGTGTTTGGCCGTGTATCTCTCCAGAGGTCCAAGATCGAGATCAAATTAAGCGGGCCGTGGACGACGAGATCCCTATGTCCCTCCATCTGCTGGGCCCATGGAGTCGAATAGTGTATCTTGTGAGGGTTGAAAGTCAACGCCGAAAACCGGAACAGAGTAACGGCTGTTTGTCTCAAGGTGCGGGTGTGAGTCTTGGCTGCTGAGACAGTCGACGAGGAGGCTGGTGCCGAGGGTAATGGTGCCGGGTCACTTGCTGTAGATGATACAGATGGCACGGCTAGTGCTTTACGGAAGACCCAGTTCCTGGTAGAATATTAACATCTCACGACCATGGGGACATACTAGTATCAACGTAAGATGGAAACTTACCGGCGATCAATAACCGCCACGCCATGCTCGTTGCGAAACTCCTTCTCTACGCCCACTACGATCATCTCCTCTCCCGTCTTACGTACAATCTTGGGCTCGGCACTGAGTACTTTCGTAGTTTCCTGGACTTCTTGTCCCACGCGCAATGGGTTAGGGCTCCCATCTGCGGCACGCGGCCAATGCACCTCGCCGCCTGCCCACATGCGCCGGGTGAATGGCGTCTCCGGGTTGTAGGAGACGTCAGTACCGTCGGCACCGAGTTCATTTTCCAGAAATGCAGGAGTGAAGTAAACTAGATGATAACCTGGCGGGAGGGGCGTGCCAGCCGGCAATGAGGTTGAGGCATGGCTCAGCGATGGGGTGTCCGGGTATAGAGATGGACGGTTCAATGTGAGTGACAAGAGCTGTAGCTGATTGGCGTCAAGAAATTGTGAGCGAGTTTGCGGCCCCAGGGACTGAAAGCGCGACAAGAATGATGCTGCAATGGCTGAGGCGGAGGAATCGGCCGCTGAACATCGACCATGATGTACTGAGAAGCGACGGAACGAAGAGCACCCTCGAAACAGGTTCTGGTTAGAATATCTGGCCCACTGTACAGCGGAAGAGAGCGACATTATGAGTTCACACGGCTGATATAGTCTGGACTTCGCTCAATTCCTCATTTACTTGCTGTTTGAGACGGAGGTTGAAAGCTGAATTGGATTACTGGGGAAGCATCTCGAGAGTTGGGGTCTTGGGGTTTCCGAAACTCGGGGCAATGGGTCGGTCTCGGAATCCTAAACTGAGATGTTTCCGAGGTACTAACCATCTTGGGTAATTGCTTGTCACTGGATTGGAAAAGTAAAATCATCGAAGCCTCGGCGACTTTTTCGTTCGCCGGCACGTATTCGAAGTTGCAAGGTGAGAATCAGACAACTCGGGGGGGTTTTGGTTTTAGCCGATCTGCTCTCGTTTTCTCCCACCTAAACCTTTAGACCCAACTTCATCTGATGACAATTCCTCCTGCTTTGTGGTTCGCCGCTTTTGGGTAGTTTGCATATCTACCTCGTATCTCTCTGGGAAATGTGCTTGCAAGACTAAGAAACACCTGGGCTTCGCTATAGTGACCCTTCAATGTGGTCATTTTCGGTGAAAATGCATAGATGGTGGTCAAAAAGACAATAGCCGAGCTGACGACATGGTCAAAGCCGGAGCGAACAATCCGGGAATTGTTGGCTAAGCTTCGTATAGTGGAGCAATCTCACTTACTCTTGAAATGCTAACATAGCCGTTTGTCTTCCCCCTTACTATGCATAACCCGGCTTATAGGGGGGCATAGTGTAAGGTTGCCGATTTTGTTGGGCTCAGGTATGTGAGACTGGAAAGGTGTGATCGATAGCATTGCCAGTTAGTGACCACCAGTGACAAGATATCCTGGATACTGAGGGTATAGGGTCTTCGTCTTCTTCACTTTGTACCCTCTCCCTCTCTGCCCATGTGCAGTCAATAAACGCCGATCGGATGTCCTAGCACATGTTGCAACAGTCCAAAGCCAACAATCTGTCTGCACGATCCCACGCATTATCGAAACATAGCGTACATCTTCATAGGCTTCCTGATCAAATCTATAACGGACCAGAAATTATATACACATAAAAGATCATCAGGTCCACCTTGCAACATGATAAGCAGGTGTCACATGGCTGCTGATCAAATTTCAAGGCTTGCATGAAGCATTCTCGATCTCCTTTTCCTCAATAAGACGTATCTCTTAGACGAGGCGCCACCATATCAGAAGGCTTGCAATGTGGCGGAACAAACCCGGTCTAGGCCAGCAGAAGGTCGCTAGCCCCTTGATAAAAAGGGAGCCATGTGTCTTATCTTTTGGATTCGAATTTCTTCGACTGAACGCTAATGCAGCACTGGAACACCTCTCAGCAACACAAACACCCTAACCCCTTACATCAGGCCTGTAGCGATAGAAAGCAACAGTAGCATCATATCGAGAGGAACGATGAAATCGCTGTTCATGTGCAAGTCCTTGCACAGGCTGCTACTAATAAGCAAGGAGAGCTGCAACATTCCTGAAGCTGGATCGATTTAGATTCTGGACCCGACTCCATTCCATGTTCATGGGAGAAGCTTGGTGGACCCCCTCTTGCCATCTCGCCAATTACTACTTGGGCAATTGTCACATATCTGGGTTTAGGCATCAACATTTTACGGTGCTTACTCTGGAAGTTACATGGTGCCTCTGCTGCATCATGGACGCCACTCGACGGCTCTTCCGGGTAGCGAAAGAGTATAAATCTAACGAGATCGGCTGATCGACGCTGTCAAGGAAGGGTAAGATTCAATGGACTAATAATTAAGGATCCTAATAACCACAAGGGTGTAGGAACACCGCTGATTGAGTTCGACTCACCTTCTTCTGTCATTTGTTTCTTTATTTACTCTGTTCTCCCGCTCCCTGATCTTCTTTCGGCTACCAAATTCAACACCCGTGGCAATTGTAATGGCAGACGCTGAACAGGGTTGCGACCCAAAAGTACAAGTCAAGGAGACTGGACCTCATGTCCATACACTGGAGTTACTATCAACCGATGCAGAATTGAAGGGTTCCAAACTTCAGAAAGGCATCGCGGCATTTGGCCGAGTATTCGCTCAAGTGTCTGGAGTGGAGGCTCGAGGAATTGAACGCGTAGCAGATGATGAGCGCCAGCCTCCGGCTCCCAATACTTACATCCGCATCTTTCTTTTGTGGCTGAGCTCTGCATTGACCGGGAACAACATTATCGTGGGACTGTACGGTCCATCATTATATGGGCTTGATTGGAACCAGGCCACCATATGTGCCACGTTGGGGGTTATGCTAGGAAGTATGTGTGTAGGGTATATGAGTACTTGGGGTCCCAAAAGTGGGAATCGCACCCTGGTAAGAAATATCAAGACGATGATCATGGGATTTATAGTTAATTTTGCACTCAGGTCGTGACTAGATACTTCCTTGGATACTACCTCAGCAAGGTTTGCTGTCTACTCAACATCCTCACCATGCTGGGATATGGCATGATGAACTGCATTCTCGGGGGCCAGGTCATCTATACAGTGTCCGGAGGCCGTACAGCTGTTCCTGTTGGTATAATTGTAGTATCAGCTCTGACTTGGTTCATCGCCACTCTTGGTGTGCACCTTTTCCAGTTCTATACTAGGTAACTAGAAGCCCTATACATAGATAGTTCCAACCTCCACTGTTTTTATTTATAGGCTTCCAACTGACACCCAGACATAGATACGCCTGGATCATTCAAGCCCTAACGTTGGCCATCATGATCGGCTCTGCCGGGCCAAGCTTCATCACCTCACCTCACGTTTCCCCAGATATCCCTAGAGCGACCGCCGCGGATCGGCTTTCATTTTTCTCTCTTTGCTTCGCCTCAGCCGTTACCTGGGCTCCGGCAAGCGCAGACTACTTCGTTTACTTGCCAACAGCAACCAAATCATGGGGAATGTTCCTCGCCGGTAGCACAGGCACGAGCCTGGCAATGGCTTTAACAACACTCCTAGGCATTGGCCTAGCAACAGGGATTGACACAAATCAAGCTTGGATCGAGGCCTCCCTTGCCTCCCCAGGGAGTCTGCTCGCGGCGTCGTTCAGCAACCTGCACGGCTTTGGCCGCCTTTGCGCTGTCATCCTCCTCCTCGGCACAGTCTCCAACAATATCCCATGCACATACTCCGCGGGTCTCAACCTCCAAATGCTGGGCCGCTACGGCCCACGCATCCCGCGGCCTCTCCTGACTACATTCGAAGTCGTGATCTACACCGTCTGCGCAATTGTCGCTCGCGAGTATCTTCGCGAGATCATGGAGAACTTTCTCCCGCTCATGTCTTACTGGATTGTGGCATGGCTGGCAGTTTGTCTAGAAGAGGCGTGGATTTTTCGTCGAGGTCACAGCTATGACTGGACGATTTGGAATAATCCACATCGGTTGCCGATGGGTCTTGCTGCCGGGGCCAGCTTTGTATTCGGGCTTTTGGGTGCCGTCCTTGGAATGGTACGTACTTTTGTCATACGCAACAAGTCCCATACTACCATGTTGGACTATAACATATGCTAGTATATACAGTCACTAATGTGTCATTCCAGTCTCAGTCATACTTTGTCGGGCCGATTGCCAAAGCCTTGCCTCAGAATTGTGATCTGGGTATGTGGCTTGCATTTGGCTTTACTGCGGTGGTGTATCCAGCTTTTCGATGTGTCGAGTTACGTGTTGTGGGACGGTGACAGTTTTGGCAGACTGTGGGAGCATATAACTATACCTTGAACTGGGAATAATACTGTTCGGACGTTAATGATATCACAAAATACATATACGGCTCAGACCCGAGGCAATTAAAATGGCGAGTGGGCAGGGTATCGACGCCAGATGGGCGGGGATGATGTTCACTGCATACATATACCTGAAAGCGTTACAAAGAATATATACTGTATAGATCGTCATAACATAGGAGAAACCATTACAGCTTCACCTGTCCACCCTGCAATCGGCTCCAGTCATTCTGCTCAAAAGGCACGTAGGTGTCCCCTTGGAGCCAGTACAGCTTGTCCGAAGGACTGACCAGTGACGGGTCTACGCCTTCGGTTCGCAGGACATGCTTTTGCTGCTTGTTGTTTCCTGTTCCCTGCATTTCTGGCGCGAGGCGGAGGAAAAGTGGAACTGCGAAGCGAGGCAGATTCGTTAGGGCGTGAGCTGCAAGACTGCTCAGGGTCTCTTGGGTGGGGGGAAGAAGCACCGATGGGTCGGTAGCCTGGTGCTGTTGTTGCAGAATAATGGCGGCACAGCCGGCACGTCCGTCGTGATTAGGCAGCGCAACACCATAGACGTTCGCTTCATGCACATCTGGGTGTGCTCCTAATACCTCGGCTACTTCACTTGTGGACACATTTTCACTCTTCCATCGGAAGGTATCGCCCAGCCTGTCGTTGAAGTACCATCTGCCTTCAGTGTCCCACCGCACCATATCGCCAGTGCGGAAGTATGCGTCGCCCTTTCGCAACACATCACGAACAATCTTGCTTTCGGTGGCCTTGGAGTTCTTGAAATATCCTTGGAAATTCTCAACAGGATCAGCCGCATTGATGGCATACAATAGCTCACCGGGCTCCCCTCGTGGCACCGCCTTACAGAACCCTGTCTCAGGGTCCCGCCAGGGTTGCTGCGATTCATGATCAACCTGAACAACGGTCAGACCACCTCCTAGAATTAGTCTACTAAGCAAGCCATTTCGCCCTATTGCTCCTGCTGTGAAGTCGTTAGAAGAGAGATTCCAGGACCCGCTGGTGCCTTCGGTTGCCGAATAAAACTCAGCAACCGTGGCGACGTTGAATCGCTCTTTGAAGCGGCCCCAGATATCAGGTCGCAAGCCGTTCCCGAACACGGCGCGCACATTATGCTTCTTGTCCAAGTCCTCTCCAGTGACAGCATCGATCTCGGGCGGCACGGCCATCAAGTACCGCAGGGTTTCACCCACGTACTGTACAATCGTTGCTTGATTCTCTCGCGCTTCTCGCCAGAAGTTTCTAGCGGAGAACTTGCGGCCGATGATCAGGGTTGATCCGCTCATCAAACAAGTTATGAACCCCAGGATAGAGGCGGATGAGTGGTAAAGCGGCATGCACTATATTGATATCAGCCTATTGCGTAAAAAGGGCAGTAAAGGTTTTGCAAAAGTTAGGGTGAAGCATACTGTGAAGAAACGATCATTCTTAGCCAACCCCAACCAATGAGTGACAAAAATGCTGCCAGACCAGCACTTCCTCCAGCTGACAATAGCGGGTTTCGGGAGGCCAGTAGTACCGCTCGTGTAAATGAGCAAAGCCAAGTCACGGAGGACAGGGCCATTTCGGACGCTGTCATCTTCGCGCGTGGCCTCCATCTGCACGATTTGGGATTCCACTTCGGGCGTGAAAAAGACCACCTCGACCGACCCACCACCTTCCCGGAACTCCGGTGAACCCAGCGTCTCCATCAGCTCAGGCGTAAATTGCTCACGGATTTCCTCGTCAACCACCAATAATCTAGCGGTCGATGTTCTGACGCAGTGTGTCAGGGGTTTCCCTGCCAAGTTATAGTTGATAAACGCGGGCACGGCACCGATACTCCAGAGTCCCAGAAGGAGGAATACAAAGGTCGAAGAATTCATAAAATCCATCGCTACGATTTCCTTAGGCTTGATTCCGTGAACTTTCTTGAGCCAGGCGCCATACCGCAACGCCATGACGTAGGTTTCATGAAAGGTCCAGGCACGGCCGTTGTAGACAATGAACTGGTTGTCCTTGGTCGCCGGGGCCAGGGCATGCTGCTCCAGTACATAGAAGAGGTTTAGATGGTCACGACGCTCGGCCAAGCGAGACTTAAAAATGGACTTGATCAAGCCCCCGATTAATGTCACATCATAGAACAGTGAGTATTTCGCGTTCAGGTATGCGAGTGTGGTGGCGAGAGCAGGCGTAGCGATAGAAAGGGGCAGATCTGAAGTCACCAGATATATGGTCAGGGATCATTATCAATGAAAGGTGCTTTGTAGAGCCTTGGCACTCCGGGTGGGAGATCAAGTTACGTACCAGGTAAAGGGATAGACATTTTGGGGAGCTCTAGAAGGGAGCTGCTAGGGATACGCGCTTTACGCGAGTTGAGGCTCAAATAGTCGGGGTTATGTAACGAGAGGAAGCGTAGAAGGTCCCAAGGGTACAGATATTGGGTTTAAATGGACGACTGCATGGTCAATGGGGTATGGGTTATGGTGTTGACGTTAGGGCGATTGGAGTTGCCTCGGCTTGATTTATGGGTCCGGCTCTCTCGGAAACGGAGACAAAGGTTGAATTTATTTATCTTCTGATCCACTTTTTCTCGTCTAGTTCATAAAGTAGTACTAGTACGTACTCCCTCCCTGGGGTTCCACTTTGGCTGGTAGAGTTTAAAGTAAAAATAACAAGTTGAAGTTGAAGTTGAAGTTTCGATCTCTTCCAATTGTTTCCATAGTTAGTTTACCTTAAATGTGATCACGCATGTCACATGCTCATCTGCCAAGGGAAAAACGACTAGTATCTTTAATACTTATCAGAATCATACAAAAACATAAGTCTGATTGATGGCTCGGACCTCGAGGCGCTTCCATACCACCCCCCCCCCCCATCATTTAATTTATTTCTTCCGGATTACAGGGACGTCTTCATACCCGTCCTCCATAAAAGTCCTTAACACTTCTAACCCCTCCTCCAACACGTGGGTTTCTTGGACCACTCCGATGCGGACGTAACCCTTGAAGTCCTCTCCCTCACCGAAACATTGACTTCCTGGGACAAACATGATGCCAGTCCGCTCCAGAAGAATTTCGCAAAAGGCAACATCATCAATGGGTTTTCCCATTTTACTGAATCGCACGAATGCCGTCGTGCCTGCGCGTGGCTTGACCCACTCGCAGGCCCACCGATGAGATTCAATGAACTTTTCAAGGATCGCCAGATTCGTTTTCGCCAATTGGATATTCCGCTTTAAGAGACTGTGGATGCAGCTTGCATCCAGGGCATAGCTCGCAATGGCGTCGTCCAATTGGCCCACCGAGATGGTAGTATAGTGCCGCGCAGAAGCGCATGTCTCAATAACAGACCGATCACGAGAGGCAATCCACCCCACACGGATGCCTGCTAAGCTATACGCTTTGGACATTGAACCAGTTACAATTGTGCGTTCGTAGCCTAGAGAAAGGAGTGATGATGGAAATTCAGGTTCCATAGGGGTAATAGAATGAAAGATAGGTCGGTAGACTTCATCGGCATGAACAAAGATCGACGAGCTGCGCGCAATTTCTACGATCTCTTCCAGCGTAGCCTGAGGGATGACAGCCCCAGTCGGGTTCTGCGGATTACTGTTACCAAAACCTTGGGTCAGTCATGTTGGGCGGTATAACAGTGTGAAGATGTAAAGAGGCATCCTGTACTTAAGAATGATCAGCTTGGTGTTGGGGCGAATCATCTCCTTTAGCTCGTTGATATCCAATTTCCACCCATCATTCTCCTTCGATTTCCAGAGGCTCACCTCGGCTCCAAGCGACGCTGGGACCGAGTAAAGCTGCTGGTATGTGGGGTAATGACAGATGACATGGTCTCCCGGTCCAACCAATGAATAAAGCAAAAGGAAGTTGGCCTGAATAGCACCCGGCGTAATTAACACGTTATCTGAAGGCAATGGGGTTGGTGTTTTGACCGAGTAGAGATTGGCCAAGGTCCCTCGCAGCCGTTCCGAACCTCGAATAGCACCATACGTGAGTTTTGTAGAGAGATCCAATGGACTCAGAGATTTATCCTCGGACAGCTCTTGTAGATCTTTCACTGAAATAGAGGCACAACATGTCTCTGCGATGTTGTACTTGGCATGGTGTTCATATTTATCCATCCACTTCCATGATGTTAGCATAAAGAACGTGAGTTCATGCGGGGTTGTGAGGGAGGATGTATGTACATGCCTGCTCCACGGCAAATTCCTTTATTTGGACCATGATAATGATGATGACAGGGATAAGACTTCACAGAAAATCTTACAGAAGATGCAAATGTCTGATACTTGGCCTGTTCCTAGTCTTTTACTTTTTGTTTTGTTTTTGTTGAGCTCCTGAAATAGAATTGGGATCGAATTCACTACAGATCACGTGCCCAGCGCCCCGGATTTAACGCCGAAGCCCCATTTCTTTGGAGTTAATCAGTCCATGAATGCCCCAGGCTGTCAGGCACCCGGTCGGCATGCCAATGCAGGTCCTCCACCCAGCGTCATCGGTGACTTGCGCTACCGTCTCAACCTCTCAACTACATCTCTCCCTGCATCTCACCACCACTCCTTTTCTGCCTTGTTTTTGCTTCTCTTCAGCCTTGTCTTTCGCGGGAAGTTTCTGCATTTCTCTTGCTTTCCATAGATAGCGCTCTCGAGCGTCGACCAACAGCATTAATCAATGCCATCTTACCTACTAATCCCATCTGTCATTTAGTTACTCCGCACTGGTCACTCCGCTTGGTCCGAGACCCAGATTGCGAGTAAGTGAGGCGACTGCTGTCCGATCTTCACACACACCGATCACAATGCGATCAAAATTACCAGCGCAGCTCTACCTAGCCACCTTGCTCTCGTTTTCGGTGTCTGCAGCTGTAGCACAGAGCAACTATTCCGACGCCCGTGTGATATCTCCGCTTTTTAATGCTTTCGATAAGCGCCCAGACGATTGCCCACCATGTTTCAACTGCCAATTAGATGCCTTTCAATGTGCCCAATTTGCTTCCTGCGATAATCTGTCCGGCAAGTGCGTGTGTCCCCCGGGGTTTGCTGGTGAGGACTGCTCGAAGCCGACTTGCGGGTCGTTGGCCGATGGCCATGACAGGACCCCGCGCACAGACAAGTACTGCAACTGCGAAGATGGCTGGGGCGGAATCAACTGCAATGTCTGTCAGAGTGATGACGCTTGCAATGCCATGATGCCTGAAGGCCAAGGGGGTGTCTGTTATAGCCAAGGTGTCACGGTCAAGGAAAATTTCCAGATGTGCGACGTGACCAACCGCAAAATCCTCGACCAGCTCAAGGAGAAGAAGCCCCAGGTGACGTTTTCCTGCAAGGCGGATGATAACACCTGTAATTTCCAATTCTGGGTGGACCAGGTGGAATCGTTTTATTGCGGTCTGGATACCTGCGACTGGGGCCTGGAGACGACCCACGACCGGAACAGAACTCAATACAAATGCGAAAATATCAAGTGCAAGTGCATTCCAGGCCGCATGCTCTGTGGAGAAGAGGGCTCAATTGACATCGGAGATTTTCTCGACCAATCCATCCAAGGCCCTGCCTCCTTCACGTCGGTGTCTACCATTGGTGGTAGTGCGAATGACGGCAGCAAGTTCCAGGAACCCGCCATGGATGACTTGATCAAGAGCGTTTTCGGAGACGAAAGTATCTTCCTGAACTGCCAGTCTGGAGAGTGCTTGTACAAGACAGATGTACCTGGATACACTCGTCCCGTGAAACAAATCAACACACCCCTCATCGCTGGAGTTATCGCTGGTTGTGCACTCTTTGTTGTGGCGGTGATTTTGACTGTGTGGTACTTATCGCGCAGATCGTATCGGGGACGTATTCAGTTGCCTCTCTCCGATGATTCGGACGATGAGGCTATTAAACTCTTGACGGATCACAAGCCAGCAGCACTGTATTGGGATAATGTGTCTTATTTCTTGAATGGGAAGGAAATTCTTTCTGGTATTCAGGGTGTCTCTCAGCCGGGCCAAATTACAGCGATCATGGGGGCTTCAGGTGCGGGGAAAACGACATTCCTTGATATTCTTGCTCGAAAAAACAAGCGGGGTGCAGTCCGCGGGGACTTTTATATCAACGGAGAAAAGGTCAATGACCACGATTTCAGGAGCATGATAGGATTCGTCGATCAGGAAGACACCATGCTTCCCACCCTGACTGTACATGAAACGATCCTAACGAGCGCACTACTGCGGCTTCCCCGGGACATGAGCCGAGCAGCCAAAGAGCAGCGAGTGTTTGAGGTTGAGAAGCAGCTTGGTATCCATCATATCAGGGACCAATTAATCGGCTCAGAAGAAGGGAAAGGCCGTGGTATCTCTGGTGGCGAGAAGCGTCGAGTGGGGATCGCCTGCGAACTGGTCACTAGCCCTAGCATTCTCTTCCTGGATGAGCCCACTAGCGGACTGGTAAGACAAAACTTATTCCGAATACCGTAAGACCCAGTAATTGCTAACATGCTTAAATAGGACGCTTTCAATGCATTCAATGTAGTTGAATGTCTGGTGACATTAGCGAAGACTTACAATCGGACCGTCATCTTCACTATTCATCAACCACGGTCCAATATTGTTGCTCTATTCGACCGACTTGTTCTCTTGGCACATGGGAAGACTGTATACTCGGGTCCTTTTTCAACATGCCAACAGTACTTCGACAATTCCGGATATTCTTGCCCTCCTGGGTTTAATATTGCTGACTACCTCGTGGATCTCACGATGCATGCCAGCGTTACCCGGTCCCATACTGACGAGGTCGTATCCCCGTTGTTAGACGTGCGCTCAGACCCACCCAAAACAGCATCAAGCAGCTTGCGGGCTGTCAAGTCAGTTGCTAGTGCATCAAATGCAAGTATCGAGGACAATTCTAGTAGCACACTGGAGGCAAATCGAAGGCCAAAGAATGGCCGTCGAGTTTCTCTCAAGCAACGCCAAGATAAGCAACTCTACTCTCGGAAGAAAGATCGTGAACGTCCCGCCACCCCCAAAACAGATGAGGAAGATGTAGGTGATGTGACGGAGAACCCTCAGCAATGGTTACGCCTTTCTCGTCAGCAGGGTCATGTTCCGCCGCAGATCCTTGACGACCCTGATGAGTTACCTCCAATTGCACCAGGCCAGACCGATCTCGATATCTTGGTTGCGAACTATTCCAGCTCAGACGTTGCTCGTTCCGTGAATGACGAAATCGTAGCAGCCGTGCAGCATGCTAGTACCGCGAATGGTTCAGCCAACTCAGACATCCTCTCAGGGGCCTCTAGTACAACCAAGAGCTATGCTAGGGTCGGCCTGTTCCGGCAGTTTCTCATCCTGTCTCAGCGGACATGGCGGAACCTGTACCGGAATCCGATGTTAATGCTTACTCACTATGCCATCTCTATCCTGCTTGCTGTGCTGTGCGGATACCTGTTCTATGGATTGACGGACGATATCAAGGGGTTCCAAAATCGTTTGGGTCTTTTCTTTTTCGTCCTCGCCTTGTTCGGATTCAGTACACTCACTAGTCTCACGGTGTTCTCAGCAGAACGACTCCTGTTTGTTCGTGAACGGGCGAATGGCTACTACCACCCTGTTACGTACTTTGCGGCCAAGGTGGTTTTCGACATCGTGCCTCTGCGACTATTGCCCCCGGTGATCATGGGGGTGATCGTGTATCCCATGACCGGACTGATTCCCGCATGGCCAGAGTTTCTCCGGTTTATCTTAGTACTTGTCCTCTTCAACCTCGCAGCTGCCAACATTTGTCTCTTCATCGGTATCGTCTTCCGCGATGGCGGAGTGGCCAATTTGATTGGCAGTTTGGTGATGTTGTTCAGTCTGCTATTTGCTGGTCTGTTACTCAACCACGATGCAATTCCCAAGTCCGCTTTGTGGCTGCAAACAGTAAGTTTATACCTATTTGAACTTCCTGGGGGGAGGATGCAAAAGCTAACCAAATTCTAGCTGTCCATCTTCCACTACGGCTTTGAGGCCTTGATTGTCAACGAAGTGACGTTCCTCACTTTAATCGACCATAAGTATGGGCTGGATATTGAGGTTCCAGGGGCCTCCATACTGAGCGCTTTCGGGTTCGACACTTTGGCGTTTTGGAAGGATGTTATTGGGCTGGGTATAATCTCTGGGGCATTCATCGTGATTGCCTACGGAGCAATGCATGTTTTCCTCATTGAGAAGCGGTAGTCGCGTATTGAATGCATCAATCCATTCTCGCCTTTTACGCCTCGTCTAATCTACGTTCGGCGAGATTGGTGGTATCCGCGACGTTACTGTTTGGTGTTGATTGGTGACAAGATATTTGTACCATGCTTTCATAGCCTTTTCTTTTCTGCTTGTTATTTCCTTCCCCTTTTCTCCTCGCTTTCCTTTTATTGGTATGATTCGTTTTTCTTTTTTATGCTCACCATTTATATCATGTTCATCTAACCCCTGTCTTAATGCCCGCTGAGGGGTATAGACGACTCACCGGAAGTGTATATATGCCCATATGAGGAATGAGAATTACTATGACGGCGACAGTCGACGTTTACCTAGGTAGAAGAAGACTCCAGATGCGGATGGAAGCACGTGTCTCCCCACGTCATCGTGCGGGCTTCCATATGAGGGGCAGTTTTGTTAACATGATATTAGGAACATATAGTTATATTTACATGTATAATGTGTCAATTGGGGCATGTATATAATAAATGTAAAATCAGAGCAAATAACCCGACGACTTGTTTGTTACCTGTAGCTGGCAAGTTGACCATTTGAAGTCCGTGTTGACGGGGAGACTCCGCTTCTGGTAAGTAGTAGCCCCAACCGTACAGCTGAGGCATCCCACAGCGATATCGCATGCTCTTTTTCATACCGGTCTTATCGGTAATGGTCCAGTTTCTATACCTATTCCGTAGTATCCTTACAGTACCGATCTTGTACCGTATAGATGTACGTATGTAGTATGGACATGTGCTCCGTAAATACTATGATCAGTACTCACTAGACGTCGTCTCTTGTGTTTGGTTTTACCGTACGAGACTAGTGTTGTATTGGTATCTCCAGACACTCTCACCGCCCACACCGAGTCCGAAATCCAATCCAATCCAATCGCCTTCTCCAGCCTCGACTTTCCACTTCTCCAATATATCCTCACGTCTTCTGCTACCGGGTGTCTTCCCCTTAAATTTACTCCCTCTGAGTAGCCGATCACCCTCTCCGAATCCCTGAGAGCGGCTATATCCACCTTCATCCTTTTCTCTCTCTCGTTTCCCTTCTCTCCAGCTCCCAAGACATCCTCCGAGCACAAACCTCTCGAGTCTGCCCAACATGTCCGGCGAAGCGTGGCTCTACCTGTTGGCGGTGTTGATCAACGCCGTCAACCTGTTTCTGCAGGTGTTCTTCACGATTATGTATAGCGATCTAGAATGGTACGTTGCCGTCCCCTCGTTCGCTTGCGGGCATTAAGGTTGGAGGAGCTCCGACCTCTAATAAACCACTAAGCGATTGCGACGAAATGACGGAGCTAACCCGCCTTGCTTTCCCACAGTGACTACATCAACCCTATCGACCTCTGCAACCGTCTCAACGCCTACATCATCCCCGAAGCTGCCGTCCATGCCTTCCTTACTTTCTTGTTCGTCATCAATGGCTACTGGCTTGCGATCTTGTTGAACCTGCCTCTGTTGGCGTTCAATGCCAAGAAGTACGTCCCTCGGCTCTTCTTTCTATAAAATGAATGATAATCAACGGAGCTATGCCTCAATGGTGATACTAACCGGGACATTGCACTATTCAGGATTTACGATAATGCGCACCTTTTGGATGCGACCGAGATCTTCCGCAAGCTCAACGTACACAAGAAGGTCAGTTGCTCGGGATTTACGTCATCACTCACTCGGAATGCCAGCTGACAGATTATCAGGAATCTTTCATCAAACTGGGTTTCCACCTTTTGATGTTTTTCTTCTACTTGTACAGCATGATCGTTGCCTTGATCCGCGACGAGTCTCATTGAGTTCGTGACGCGATGGAGCATGCGATGCGCGGTGGCCATACTGGCCGAAGTATCGCGTGATGCGCTGTTTTGTCTTGCGATAAGTAAGGCTGGATCGAACATGATAATTCTCTCCGGCGCGGTACCTGGACGCGCTCATGTCGTCAAACTGGGCCTGCCCAGTTTATCGATCTCGGCGCTCCGCCGGTATGCCGGAGCATGCAACGGAAGATGGACGAAATGTAGGATATGCCTATGACAAGGAATCTGACGACGGGTTGGGGTGATGATCAATCTTTTGGTATAACGACTTAGACTGGGATGGTGAATTGAAAAACTGCATCGCAGCGATGCAGTTTAATTGACATATTTTGCGTGTATTGATTTTACGTTGCGACTGTATTCCTTCTTGATGTCTGATGTGCTGTATATACCACCACTCAAGCAGTGTGCCAATGAAGAGCGTACGATACCCTTGCTGTGCCATTGTTACAAGAATGCATCTCCGCATGCCTACCCCTACCAAAAACGATCGTGGTAGAGGTGGTGTATATGGAGAGAGCGCCGGTGGTGTAGAAACGGTTGTGTTTCGCAGTGGGACACTCTCGCCGCCCGAAAAATTAGACTCGCCGCCTTTGAAACTTTAGATTATCCAACGACCACCGCGCTTTTGCCCTTCTTGTCCCTAACCTTCCCAGCGCAACTGAGAGCTTCCTAAACCCACGTTCTCTTTTGCAGAAACTCAAATAGCCGTGCATCATGGCGTCGCTATTAGGTGCTGGCTACGAGTCGAGCGACGATGAGACCACGCGCCCCCAGACCCAAACTACCGCGCCGACAGCGACCAAGATTGTCGCAGCGCCAGAAGTAAATACAGAGGTTTGGTCCCCGGAATCTATCATCCTTTCCATTTCGTCCTTTTACCCATGTGTCCCTTAGCCATTATATAACTCTACTCTCAAATATTGCGTGTCAGGGTCTTGTGATATCTAACAATTGTACAGGACCAAGCACATATGCAGATGATGCTCGCTAATACGTCCTCCCAAGCTCTGACTTACAATGCAACATACGACGATCTCTCCCGACCCAACCAGGGCCCAGCGAATCCTTTTAAGCCTGATGGTCCCGCGAATGGGCTCAAGCGCAAGAACGTGCCGACGGGATACGCAGAGGAAGCAGCAATCAGCGCAGCCACCTTTGCCGCGCAACACCGCACGTTCCAGAGCTTAGGATACACACGCAACCCCGGGCTACCGGGGCAGTTTGTGGGAGATCTGGACCGGGCGGCACAGTATGGAGGTCGGGATATCGTGCAGATGAAGCCGTCGAAAGAGGTATCGGCAGCCTTGCGGGCCAAAAGACAAAGGAAGGGTGACTCGAGCATTGTCGAGGGTGAAGGCGCTTATCTGGGACCATGGGCGAAATATAAGGATGATGACCATATGTACGAGGAAACGGAGGCGGCCGAAGATCGGGAACTCGCCAGTGACGAGGAGTATGTGGATGAAGAGGAAGAGGAGATCGCCCCGGCTCATATGCCTGCCATGAGCAAGCAAGCGACAGACTACCAAGACGATTCATCCAAGGTGGAAACGACCGAGTTCCATGGATCCGAGCAATTCGACTACATGGGCCGGACATACATGCACGTACCGCAAGATTTGGATATCGACCTCAGGAAGGAGATTGGCAGTGTCAAGAACTTTATCCCGAAGAAACTCATCCACACCTGGAAGTCACATACCAAAGCCATTACATCCCTCCGTTTCTTCCCTCAATCTGGCCATCTCTTACTATCCTCTGCAGCGGACGGCAAGGCCAAGATCTGGGACGCATTCCATTCGCGCGAGCTTCTGCGCACTTTTTCCGGCCATTCTAAAGCTATCACCGACACAGATTTCCATTCCACCGGGAAAACATTCCTCACAGCATCCTACGACCGCCAGATCAAACTCTGGGACACCGAGTATGGCAAGTGCCTTGGTCGTTTCTCTACCGGCAAGACGCCACACGTTGTTCGGTTCAACCCCGGCGCCGAGCACTCCCACGAGTTCCTGGCTGGTATGTCTGACAAGAAGATCGTCCAATTCGATACCCGCTCCGGCGAACTGGTCCAAGAATACGACCACCACCTCGCAGCAATCAACACCATCACCTTCGTTGACGAAAACCGTCGCTTCATCTCCACATCTGACGACAAATCCCTCCGTGCCTGGGAATATGGCATCCCCGTCCCGATCAAGTTCATCGCAGAACCATACATGTTCGCCCTCACACGGGCAGCACCCCATCCAAACGGCAAATACGTCGCCTTCCAGTCCGGCGACAATCAGATCGTCGTCTACGGCGCCACGGATAAATTCCGCCAAAACCGAAAGAAGAGCTTCCGCGGCCACAACAACGCCGGTTACGCCATTGACCTCAAGATCTCTCCAGATGGCCAGTTCATCTGCTCCGGCGACAGCGCCGGATACGTATGCTTCTGGGACTGGAAGACCGGGAAGATGTACCACAAAATTATGGCGAGCGGTAAGGAAGGCGGTGCGACGACTTGTCTTGACTGGCATCCTCAAGAGACGAGTAAGGTCGTCACTGGTGGATTGGATGGTGTGATTAGATACTGGGACTAGAACTAGAGCTTCTTTTTGTCTTCAACTTTCTGTTCCCTTCTTACTATGGTGAAATTGATACCAAGATGAGATGGCTATACCTCCTCAACGCCATTTGTATCATCCTATATTGTATGTACTTTAACATATCTTTATCAAGGGCATGGGTACTTGGAATGGACCGGGAATACCTGGAGGCTATAAAAATCAGGAACTATAATGGCCAAGTGCAGCAGTATAAAGTCCCAGATCCACGTCAGAAAACTGATTGGATTAAAGTCTAATTCATACTTTTTTTCTCCATATTTCACAATTAATATACATGAACAACGGTAAGGTATGTGCAGATGCACACTCTCGACTACGACGATGACAAATGGAGGAAGACTGACCAGGGACATCACAGCTAGAAGCTAGCCATCTCGATCCAGCTAGCTACGAATGCTAATCTCCGCCCACGATCTGCTGCCATACGATGCGAGAATTCCTCGAAATTAAGCTTGGCGCCTGTGCCTCCTCGTTCTTTTGCTTCACGTTCGATACGATTGAGGTAGGCCCAGCGTGAAAGAATCAGTGGAGATGGGGGCATGGTGGGGCCATCTCGAGGTGGGAGAGTGGAAGTGGAAGCAGGGGGTAGAGGTTGGATTGGTGAGGGGGAGAGTTTGGGAGCCGTTGCTTCTGCTTCGGGGGAGGAGGCGGCGATTGACGGTGGTGCTGGGAATGAGGTTGTACCGTTAGGTTGGAGGCGAAGTTCGGCAGGAAGGGTTTGCGGGAAGGTAGAGTGTGTCGGGGAAGCGTTGTAAGCGTTAAAGTGTGACTCCGAGGTACCGGGTAGCTCCTGGGTATCTTCATCTGGGCGGTGATGTGGCAGTGTAGGGTCAAAATCGGATTCAATAGATGGTGACCGACTCCGTTCTGATATTGGGGATTCTGGTGATGGGGCATCTGGCGCACAATCCGGCTCTTCCTGCTGGGTCTCAGCCAAGGCAGGCTCGGTTAAGTCCTCTTCAGGATCAGCGAGGTGAGTCGGTCGTACATCGTCGTCCGGGAGCCGCAATGTAGGCGACGGAGGAGCAAGAATGGGTCCGTCTCGGGTGGGCTCTAAAGGCGGGCTTCCGATAGTATATCCCGCCCGTTCAAGCAGTTCTTCGAGGGACCTGTCGCCAAAGGGATTATGCAAGGAAGGCTCCGGTTCCTCTTTGGCCTCGTCGTCCTCGCTCCGCCCATTCAGTCGGGCGAAATGCTTTCCGGCATCTATTTGCTCTACCAGCTCAATCTCTCGGGCCCAGATCTTGCGCTCAGTGCGCGTCCGATAAACTTCCATGAGCAGGTCTTCCTTGGGTTTGAACAATAGATCAAGCAGTTCGTTGAATCCTTGTTGCGTGACTTGATATAGAATTTCCTTCCCAACGTCCCTTTCTACTTCAGGGATTTCGAAGCCTCCCCACCGCTCACCAACAAGTATACTGCGTGAGGATGTCGATGGATTTGACCTCACATCATAGTCATCAGTGACGTCGTCCTGGAACCGCACCTTAGATGAAGAACGGGAACGAGGAGATGGCGGATGTGACTCAAGTTCAGAATGTTGGCTATGGAGGCCATCATCAACCGATACATCATCCGCGTCTGAATCGGTCTCGTAGCCTTCAGGCGCAGCGGCGCCATCTTCCTCGTCGGTGTAGAATGCCCTTCGCCGCCACCGCTCATCAATCCCATATCTACGAGCGGCATCCACCCGTCTATCATCATCATCAAACATTCTGTGGTACACAGCAGTGCCGATCCGAGCCCTGTCAACTGGGTCAGTTACCTCTGATAGGGGTACATAGGCCCCAAGAGCCGTCACAATATCCTCATCGCGGATATGTTCGGCCGGAGGCCAGCGGTCAGTAGCAACCGACGAACTAGAGCCATCAGAGCTGCTGGCATCATCTATGTTCTCGCCTCCGGGTCTACCTTGATCGGGTAGCCGAACGGATGGAAATAATGGTCGGATACTGCCGTATCGGCTCCGAACAGCAGCATCACCGACGACGGCATGCCGGTCACCAGAGTCGGTCCCGTCAGGGCGCAAGATACCTTCGTTGTCCACGATTTCCATATCTCCTTCATGGTTGACGCGCTTGCCTTCTCCGGTCCTAGACACCTCTCCTGCAGGTATGGTGCCGGGAAATGCAGAACTGATTGGCTGGCTCCCCAGAACAACATCTCGTGCACCGCCCTCTAAGAAGTCGTCTTCCATGCCTGCCACCATGTCTCGTGTTAATTCTCTGCTGAGAGCGTAATATGCCCGGAACACCCGTAAGAAGTCCTTCCGATCCACGTAACCGTCGCCATCAATATCATAACCACGGAAGACACGGCGCAACCTCTCATCGTTGCTCTTATTATTAAGGCTTGCAAGGCCTTTCAAGAATTCTTCAAAGCCAATTAAGCCATCACCATTCGTATCATAGAAAGCAAACATTCGATCGTAGATAAGGCTTGGAGGGGGTGGACGGACAGATGTGTTGGGCACAAAGCATCGATCGAATGTCTTGCGGTCAATCGCCATATAGAGCTTGTTGGGGTCGTCTGCCCATTCGTGGTTTGCCAGGCAACGAAATTGATCCCAAAGAGCGTCCAGCTCCGTGTTCTCGAAGTTGGTATCCTTCATCAGACGTTTGGCCAGGGATCGATGTAGACTGCGGGGAAGCATGGCAGGCTTTCCAGGATACCAAACAGGCTGGGACTGTCGGGGATTCCCCAGGAAAGGAGCCGGGATCCGTACTTTGTAAAACAAATGGGTCTTGATGTGAACCTGCATTGCCTCACACGTCTCACAGAGATCGTAATCGATGCAGTTTGCGCATCGGTACCGAATGCCTTGGATCGGCATAGCGCCACAACTGTTACACGTTACTCCTCTGTGGATATAACCATCTCTCCGTGCTTGGTCCTCGGCGATATGATAAAGTAGGTTGAGCAAGTTCTGACCTTCCCTCGATGGAGAGGCGTCGTTGTGCCCTTCGCGCCAGGAAAAGACGCTCTGATCATCCACGACTGTCTCCCCACCATCCATATTTTGCGCGGGCGTAGATTCATCGGGGAAGGTAGAAGTAGACAAGGTAACCCTCTCCCCGTTCTGTCGACGGCGACGCAATTCTTCTCCGTAGTTGCTGTCTTCATTGAACCGAGCCAAGGCCCTCTCAATCCCCGCACGCGATATCCCACGCCGCTGAAGCTGCTCCGTCAAGTAGTTCCTTTCCGGGCTGCCCTCTTCCACAGTATGCGCTGGCGGGAAGTCCAGAGCGAGAAATGATTCCAGAAACGTGTCTTCCATCATCTCGCGCATCCGCTCCGCATGAGCCTGGGGAACGCCGACTTCCTCCATGAGCTGATCCCGGGTTGCGAGCAACGACGGGAGCAGCCCACTTTCCACACGTCGGCCATCTTCTGTTTCTATGCGAAATGTACCATATACTCCATTCTGGCGCTCTAATTGCTCAAGGTGTGCGATGGCTCGAGAAGAAGGAGTTTCGACGGGCACAACCTCCGATCGTCTCCTTAGGCCTCGCGGGCGGCGTATAGTTCTTCGGCGACGTAGAGATGGTTGGGATGAGGAAGAGATGATAAGATTGTTGATGTAGACAAGAGCGTAGGCTGCTGCGACACCAGTGAGTAGGTAGACAATAGGACGATACCGTGACAAGGCCGGCCTTGGTTGAGATGCCGGCATAGCGGTGTTTGTAATGGCGAAAGGGCTATGGGCTATTGAACTGGGTCATTCTCATCGTGAATGTGGGATAAGATCCGGAAAAAAGCGTACAAAGAAAAGAAAACCGCTAGCAATGAGGTTGTCAGCGTGACAAGTTTGAAAGCTGAAGGTGGGAGTATAAGTTGATTGGGGAAGAGTTGGAGAAAAGGCGGACAACCAAACGCCCGTGAAATAAACGACCGCCTTCGGAGTTGCAGTAAATTAAGTGTTCTACACGACACTACGGCCTCCAGTCATCAATCTTCTAATGTCTTTGTGTTCGCTATGTATTGTCGTAATAATGATAAGTCACAAAAATAGTAGCAGTGCTGCGCAATTTACAGATATATGCTGTATGCCCTCTAATTTAGAGATTGCAATATACTCGTCTTTTTGGGGCGCATTTGTCGGGTCAGCGCAACCATCAAACATCACTTGGATATTCTCTGATAGCCCAGATCACCGAATCAGCTTCTTTTCACGCATAAAGAAGCTGCTGACAAGGGCAAAGAATACCACAGCAATCATGAATGCAAAGCCTTTATTCATAGCCCATCCATAACAGCCCCGAACCGCTTTCGCAACACTCGGATCAAGGGTCTTAATAAAGTCGAGACTCTGGCGCACGCCATCAACGATGCGGTCAATATCCTTACTGTCACGCAATGCAGACCTCAGCCGGCCCCGAAGAATCTGCTGGACCACTGTTGAAGATAAAGATAGGCCGATCACTGAGCCTAGGGATCGGAAGAGGTAAGAGCACGCCGTCACTACTGCCTGGTCTTCGGGCGTCGAATTTGAGACTGCAAGAGAGGTCAGAGCAGCTCCATTTATTGCAACTGTATCTTTTTCACTTACTGAGGCAGATCAACGTCGATGTGACACCGATTCCATTTCCAAAACCCGAAAGTACCATTCCCATGATCATCGGTACAAGACTTTCCGTGGCACCTCCAGAGAAAAGGAAGATCACTGTGACTCCTAGTGTGAGTAATGAATATGCCGCTACCGTCAGCCAATAAAATTTCCCGGTCCATTTCATGACGAATCCGGCAAAAAGCGACCCAGTAACGCCGGCAAGAATACTGGGTAGAAGACGCAGCCCAGCGACAGTAGCAGACACACCGTCTACGGCTTGGAAATAGAGTGGAATGTAGAACAGGGCTGCCAGCCAGCCCCCGAAGCTGAAAAAGTTACAGCCATAACTAGAAAAGAATGTTCGGTCGAAGATAATATGACCGGGGGCAAATGGTTCCGCTGCGTAGAAGACCTCAACCACAACGAAGAGCACGAATAAGATAGCCGATACACTCAGCGAGATAATGGTTATCGGTATGGTCCAGGACACATTGCTACCGCGGTCAAGACCTAGAAGAAAGCCAAGGACCGCCCCAACGAGAATAATCGCTCCTGGAAAATCAATACGACGGAGCTTGTCCTTCCAGTGACTATTTTCCTGCGGTGGCAATTTCAGTATGATAGAAACCGCTGTGAAAGCAAGAACACACATGGGAGCTTGAGCAATGAAAGCCCTATGAAATGTATCAGAAGCGACCTTTTACACTGGGAGAGAAGCCATACCAACGCCAGCCAATGTAGTCTGCCAATATACCACCTGCATGAGGGATAACGTTAGTGTTTGCCGATCAATCATAACGCCTGCCGTACCTAAGGGTGCTCCAACTCCCGATCCAGTAGCATATATAATATTGATTATACCTTGCCAGACACCTCGATCTCGCAGCGGAACAATATCACTTAGTAGAATGCTGACAACGGTGGTCATACCGCCTCCCCCAATACCCTGGAAAACCTATACTCCCATAAGCCACCCCATATTCTCATTCATGTAAGATCGCCAAATACTTACACGAGCAGCAATCAATTGATGGATATTCTGCGCTAGACCACAAAACAAGCAGCCAGTGCCAAAGATAGCATACGCCCACAACAGACATGCCTTGCGACCAAAGATATCACTCAGTTTTCCATAGAGCGGCTGGAACGACGTTAAGGTTAGAAAGTATGAAGTGGCAATCCAACTTGTGAGATTGAGTGCATGAAGATCGCTACCAATCTGCCCATAACTGGCCATGATAATAGTCTGGTCGGCTGCAGATAGGAAGACCTGGCATAAATTAGCACAGGTATACAACTAATCACGGGAAAACGAGACCATACGCCAATTGAAATCGCAGGAAATATATAGCTCAGTCGTGGGCTTGATTCTGTCACGTCTTTGCCCGACGCTTCCTGTGAACCACCATTCTGCCCTACTGTGTCGGGGTCGCGCAGGCCAGAAATGGCGCCGTTTGAGGGACGGACAGCATTACCGTTAGCTTGCGGGCCCAGCAGCGGGGACGTCTCTGTAAGTGTCCTTTCTGGGGCCATGATGCTCACTTCACCAGTCCCACGGATCAAGGATTGGACTGTGTCAATCACGACAGATACAGGAAGAAGCGACGACTCCACCGCAACTATACCACCGGCCTCGGGCATCTCCTGGTCACGTGATGATAAGCAACCCCACTGAGCTTACAAATTAAACCGAACAAGACACACCCTCATTGGATCAGTCGGCTCTCGGCCCTGGATGGAGCCAAAAGACTTGAACCGATTAAGTTTAATACTAAGTCTTCGATAGTGGGAGTCGTGAGATCACGTGGGTGGGAATGTTTACTATAGAAATGTTCTGAATCTTCTGATTCACGTTTATGATGGAAACCCTTCAGGCTGTGGGCGCCGTGACCTGGTGAAATTCTTGGTAGTATGAATTTTCTTATTCGCTAGTCTCGTTCACTCAACTCTTTTTTTCTAACATCTCCAGTTCATGCCTCGGTTTTCGCCTCTTCAACTGTTGGCATAGGGATAGGTCCGCCAGGAGAGTCTGGTAGACGAGCGGTCAGTACCTCAACACCGTCTTCCGTCACCAGAAGGGTGTGTTCGAATTGGGCGGACAGAGATCCATCGGCAGTGGTGCTGGTCCAGTCATCAGGCCATGTACGGTCCCTGTGGGTACCAATATTGATCATGGGCTCGATTGTAAAACACATTCCCGGCTTGGCGGTTCCTACCGCCTTGTTCTTCGCGTAATGGGGCACATTAGGAGCGCAGTGGAACAGCTGGTTGATACCATGGCCACAGTAGCTCTTGACCACACTGCAGTTGCGGCTCTTCGCATGCTTTTCAATGACGTTTCCTGGGTCTCTGAACAGCATACCCGGCTTCACCAACTCAATAGACTTCTCCAAGCACTCCCGAGACGTCTCCACTACTCGAACAGCATCCGGGTTTGACCGAGCCTTCTCTCCAACATAGTAGGTTTCGTTAAGATCACCATGGAAGCCATTATGGTACAATGTAACGTCAATGTTGATAATGTCGCCGTCTTCAAGTGGGCGCTGATCGGGAATACCGTGACAGATGGTCTCATTGATCGACGTGCAGACAGATTTGGGGAAGTGCATATAGTTCAGCGGCGATGGGTAGGACTAGACGCAATTCAGTATCAAGCGACGCGGACAAGCCTACGATAGCGCCTCAAATCAAGACGGCCACTCACATTGCGCTCGACACAGGCCTTGTGAACGACTTCATCAAGGTAATCGGTCGTGATACCAGGCTTCAGTTCCCGTGCGGCGATATCCAATACCTCACGAGCCAGGCGGCAGACTTTTCTCATGCCCTCCTGCTCCTCCTTGTTCAGGATAGTAATGTTATGCCGGCCGATGAACTTTTGCTCTGATCGAGGAATACCGTCCTTGGCATAGTCGGGGTGGGGGATAGATTTGGGCACTGTTCTCCGGGCCGAAAGCGGGTAGACAGGTCGCAAAGAACCGGTGAAAGGGTAGGCTGGGTAAGGATTGAAGAGGCCGGTGGCTGGATCTGGTTCAGAAACTACTTTTGGCGGAAACAGGTTGGTGAGGATATTACTCTTTGTTTTATGAATGGCCTTGTGCTCGCTCTACAACAACATTAGTATACATGCGGAGTGGAGTCGAAAAGAGAGTAAAGTACGTGGACCCTACAGGTCACACTAGGCAGCCTACCCAACTCCGTTTAAAACAGTCCTGTGAACAAAAGAAACTATCTGTGCCCTGTTTGAGGCATGTCGGACACTGCAGAGTTCCCGCGGCCTTGTCGCAATCCACACCCATGCATTTCCGAGTCGCGGCTTCCACTGCCATGCTGTAAGAAAGAGATAGAAAGTCGAAGGGAGAAAATAGCGCAACAAATGCGAAGCAAAGTCAAATTGGGGTATCCTATGCGGATCAAGCGTTGCTAGAGGTAGGAAAAAATGGGAAAATCCCCCGCGGATACACTCGTTGGTCGAGTCTCGGCGCAGAAGGAACTATTCCTAATGCGGCAAGGCTGTTAGCCGTTAACGTCAACGGTTAAGCGCAGCCAGGCGCGCGGCTTGGCATCATGTGATACTTCTACGTACAAGGCGAAATTTAAGCGTCAAAAGTATGGCGCAACCATCGCTGGCTGTAATTGGGGAGAAATCGTCGGTATGCCACTCACGTGTTAATCACGTGAGGCAAAGTTCTATCCATGAGCCATAGTCATGTTTTAATATAGGAGTGAATAACTTTTCTTCTTTGAAGAGAAGCAAAGTGCGCTTAACTTGATAGACCTGTTTCTGTTCTACAGTCATCATGGCACATGAATCTCCAAGGAAGCAGAAGGTAGTCATCGTAGGTGCCGGACCAGTCGGATCCCTCGCAGCCCTATATGCTGCCGCTAGAGGAGATGATGTTGAAGTGTATGAACTACGTGGAGGTGAGCCTACATTCACGACGTGCCCATGCTGTATCGTGCGATATCTACTAGAATGAGGATATGAGTTTCTCGACTCGAAATTGATTTCCGTGTCGCTGAAATGACATCATCGTCTGATATATGATACATCCCATGCTGCATCATCGATGTCAGTTGTGGATCTTTTTGCTCACCTTGTGGAGTAACTTGCAGACCTTCGTGATCCTACTACGGTCCCATTGAACTTTACCAAGTCTATCAACCTCGCTCTGGCTGAACGAGGTATCTCGTCCCTGAAAGGTTCAAATCGACATGGCATGATCGACAAGGTTCTCAACGATGCAATCCCTATGCATGGTCGTATGATTCACGGGAGAGACGATGGAAAGCTCTGGGAAGCTGCGCAGGCATACGACGTCCATGGTCAAGTTAGTACTTCCATGACTGATGCTTGAGGATCTCGTGTCTAACAACAGGCTCACAGGCCATCAACTCCGTAGATAGGGGCACGCTGAATAATGCCTTACTTGATGAGTTGGAGCGGACGCCAAATGTCACATTGTTCTTCAATCACAAATTAACAGGAGCTGATTTCCAATCAAACCGAGCATGGTTCGAACGTCGAGCCCCAGGGGATACTCCCCTTCCTGGCTCCTCCAACCGTGTCCCTGAGATCGAAGTAAGCTTCGATTACATGATCGGTGCAGATGGTGCTCATTCCGCCTCGAGGTATCACATGATGAAGTATTCTCGAGTCGACTACCAACAGGAATACATCGACACCCTGTGGTGCGAGTTTCGGATCCCACCATCGGATACTGGTGACTTCCGCATCTCGCCGAACCACCTGCATATCTGGCCCGGAAAGGAATTTATGTTCATCGCTCTTCCGTCGCCTGACAAATCCTTCACCTGTACTCTATTTGCTCCAGCCGCCCACTATGCGCAATTGGAGAGCTCACCGCAGAAACTGTTTGAATCCTTCGATGTTAACTTCCCCGGTGTCTCCCCGGATCTGATCACCCCTGAAGCTCTGCAAGAGCAATTCAAAGAAAACCCTCATCTCCCCCTGATTAGCATCAAAAGCAAGCCTCACCACTATGGCTCCAATGTTGTCATTGTCGGAGATGCCGCTCACGCCATCCTCCCATTCTATGGGCAAGGTCTCAACGCAGGTCTGGAAGATATTCGGGTCCTGTTTGATTTCCTGGACAAGCACGGCGCCTTTGATTTGAATGCAAGTCTCGCGACTCGCCGCGAATCACGCCGAGCAGCTTTTCAAGCATACACCGATCAACGAACGGCAGATACGCACGCCATCAATGACCTCTCCAAGCAAAATTATCTGGAGATGCGCTGGGGAGTGAAGACCCCACTATACAAAATTCGTAAGTCAATCGAGGAAGCCCTCGATCTCTACGTGCCTAGCCTTGGCTGGAAGACCCAGTATGCTCGCGTCAGCTTCAGTACACAGCGGTACTCGGACGTCGTCAAGGCGGTCCACAGACAAGGCAGGATACTCGGCTACGGATTCGCATCTGCTGTCATCTCCAGCATAGCTGTCGCTGGAATACTGGTTTGGAAAACACCAATCCGGCTTTCACCGCTACCTGCACTGCAATCGACAGTCCGATTTTTAGGTCATGTTTGGACGAAGATTTCGCTTAGAAACGCATAAGGTGGATGCCTAGAGTACTTCCATTCAGGATATGTTTTGTTAAGTAAATAAGTTTTTTTTTTCTCTTTTTGTCTGTTTTCGTGACTCAGCGTCTGTCTTGCTTATAGAGAGGAGCCTTGGATATAGTTGAGATTTTCCCCAAACGTGTTGTGCGGATGATAGACAATAGAGCGTAGAATTCAATGCTTGTCCCAATTAATTGATGTATTCCTCGTCGCGATATTCTTACACGTTTTCTCTCCTGATTCGGGAAGAACATGGATTCTTGTTACCTAGTCATTTTAGACAGCCATCGAGTGCCCATGGTACCACAGAATCACCGTCGCTTTCCTGGACGCCGGAAAACGTATGGCCTACGAATACTAAGAATATGAATGGGCTGTGAGTACAGCCCTCAAATTCTCAGCATATCCTTAGCATTTTCGTCGGGCCCAAGCTAGCCACTTCTTCCTTTTTTTTTTTTTTGTCGGCAAAATTGACCTTTTCTCTTTTCTATCTTGCCATTCGCTGTATATGTGTAGCTCAGTCAGAGGCATTATCGGCAAAATTGATCAAGGAACGTGTCATAACCACGAGTTTCCCCCTCGATCGGTGATAATAAGACAGTTCAGAAAGACATATCTCACCGCAGTTTGACTTGTAGGATATTGCATGGTCACTGTTGTCTTTGGATCAATAGGGACACGTCTGCAGTTTAGGCCACCATGGAAATAGCACATCGGATTGAAAAATCAGACCATTGCAGCCAGGAGTCTATGAACAAGACAAAAGGTGACATAACAGACATTCAATCATCCGGTACTGTATAATCAAACGGTATTTCGGGAGGCCGACCACTGAAGCCATCAAGGTCGGATAGAGCAATGACAAACAGACAGCCACACCATAAATACACAAAGTCCAGTATCATAAAATCAATCGGGCGTTGAATATAAGAGTAGGCAAAAGCAATGCCTATGGTTACCCTTCCAGCTCGGTTATAGTAGACATAGAAAGCAGACCAACATACTCGAAAAGACAGAAACAAACAAAGGACTACCCAGCACCGCGGGAAAAAGAGGCATAACAAGAGAGCAACAACATCACTATCTGATGTCTGACATGTAGCACAGTGACTAGTGCGACGTACGCTTTAATAGACGACCAAGAACGGCTTGGCCTCGGTATATCTCATTATCCATGGGTTTCATCAAGGGAAAATGCTCCGGACGGCTTAGGAGTTCATGGGCCAAATGTGGGATGCTGTGTTATTCATCAATCATCAGAGTCCGAGAAAGGATTATGTTCCGACCAAATGGAGTGAAATCAGATATCCGGGTGATCCAAGGTCAAAACGTTGGCTTCCGGAAGGAGCCATCCCTGGAAATAGCCTATCAAGGAGCAAATGAAGATGTACCACAGGTCATGGGACATGATGGTTTCCAGTATGGTCTGATCTGCGGCATAAAAAGGAAAGTGGCCATTGTGTGGAGATATCACATTCAAAAGTGAAAGAGACAGGGCTTGTTCATGGATTGGCGAACTTTACCCGGCGAGTACGTCGATCCTGAATGCGCTTCTCCGTGTCAACATAAAGACGGTCTAAGTACTCCATGGCACTGGCATCTTTAAGGATCTTTGCCACTTGGGTTCCAGCTGAAATTAGCTGGAGAACATTTCGATCATCCTTGATGGGTCTGGACTGATGCTTGGCAGCATGCCTCATTTCCAGGGAATTCTCCAGCACCGTGACTAATTGTTTGATTTGGCCATTATACAAAACCCGGGCGGGAATGCGGCGCTTGGTGGCCAGTCTTTTAAGGAGATATACCCACTCAGTCCATTCACGGTCTGAGGGAACCCTCACCTGTCTTTTGTCCGGTTCCAGTGGAATCGGAAATTGATACTTTGCAACAAAGTCAAAAGCACATTGCGACAGCCGGTCATTCACTGCGCTCAAGATTCGATCTTGCTCTGAAACATCAAGATTAGTAGGGAGATGAGGAAGATCCCTTCCTTGAGCCGCTATAATACGCGGAGAGGGGACATCTAGTAACTGATGGGGTCCATCAAATTCGTCCCGGTTGGACGGTCGTCTCTGTGAATGGTAACGGACAGTGCCCTTGGTCTTTTCAGAATTACGTCGGCCATGCCTTTCAACCAGGTATTCCGGGTTCTCTGCTGGCTTAACAAAGTTGTAATCGCGCCTAAGCGATTCCGGAGGCAGGTGAGCGGGGTGTTCCCACTCTCGCGAAAGAATTGGACGCGGCAAAGGCCCCACGGGTGAGACAGTTATCCCAGAGGCGTGTGAAGCCACCGGAAGACCGCTGTATGGCATAGGAAACTCAAATTCCGGCGATACTTGCTTCGGCGGCCTTGCGGTGGCAGATTGAGTGTCTAGAGGACCACAATCACGATGTGGGGGAGAAAACCGTTTGGCGCTAGATAAGTTTGCCTCAGCACGATACCCTCTCTTCCCAATGGGAAGTGAAGCGACACAGCATGATTAGATAGATACCTTGGATGGGGATGATAAACCAACGGAGACTCGCTAGCAGTCCCATAGATTGGTGGTTGTTGATGCATGATGGCACTGCAGATGGTGAGCTTCTTTCAAAAACCTTAGGCCACAGGGAAGGTAGAGACAAGGGGATTCGCCAGTTAGCGCTGACCTGTGACGGGACCAGGAATCGGATTCACTGCTAATGGAGTGCGTGCAAGAGCCACTACCTGACGTCCCGGAAAAATAACTGAAGGCTGAGGACATTGCTATTACTGTAACTGATCGCACCGGCGCATGAGGTTGTATTTGAGTACAGGAATTGGCAAAGAGACCAAAAAGACAGGGCTAGTCGGATATTCTTAGGGCTGCCGAGTTGCTAAACAAAGATTTGTTTTCGAGCAATATCTCACTGCAAAGCTAGGGAGCTCTGGTGTTTAATATAGACATCTAGGTAAGCAAAGGCAAGGATATGGGCCCAATCGTTGTGGACCGAGGCGAGCTTTTGCTTCTTCCGTCCCACGATATCTCAGATAAAGATAGGCATGGTATGAAGAACACCACGCTGCAACGGCCAAGGGACACTCACAAAGGGGACTCCGTTCCTGTCCAGAACAAGACTTGCGGAGAAGACCAATATACAACAGGGTCAGATCGCCAATCAAATCCCCTCAACACCAGGCCCCATTTGACAAGGTTTACAGAGAGAGATCAGAAAAGGGGCGTAAATAACGACTGGATGAGGATAGATAACAGTCATCGCAGAAGCGCGAGGTATGGGCCAGGCAGGTGCCTGACCCAGCTCCCTTACCCGTCTTTTGTCTCATGTTCAATCAGGTGCTTCCTTGCACTGCCCTTGGGGGGATACATCTCTTGTGGGATCAGCCCGGAAAAGCTGGAAAGCACCCATCAGGAGCAGATTCCGGTCAACGTTCGGGTGCTGATCCTACCTCGAAAGGGCATTGGGATCATAGGACATCGAGATGGAAGAGGGGAGCCGACGACAGATACCCGCCTGCGCTGAGTTTTGGGCAGCAATATCAGGATTGCGCAGGGCGCATGCATCCACTAGGCAGAGTGACATGTTGTCTCAGGGCTTGGCTCCATCGGAGATCATTCAGCAATTATATCGCAGGAAGCTCGCGGTTAGAGTTTCTTTCCAGCACTGAGTGGGTTATCCCCACACAGATCCCGGGTGGAGTATGGCTGCGAGAAAGATGGGATCCATTCGGAATCTGGTCGTTGGGTGTCAAGTCGAACACTTCTTTCAAGCCAGGAGCGCCGGTTGGTCCCGTTCGGGTTAAGGGGCTCCTGCCTGAGCCCTCAGGACGCAGCCAAGCAGGTGCTACGGGAAATCCATCCTTCTTCAAGTCCCGCCTTCATAACAAAACGATTCTCTCCATTGCCCCGGATTGGTCTTTGCTTTCACCATCGAAGCAACTGCCGCTGCACTTATGTACCGGTGCTGACTCCATCGCCTATAGCTTGCGCTGATCACTGACGGATCCGTCGACGGGAGTACTAAAACGATGGGGGCCACCTAAGTCCGACGGCCCATAGTGCCTACCATTATAGTGGTACTTGGATTGAACAACATCGGTGGATCTGAGAAGCGCCAGGTTCCAACAGATGGCGGCCCGAAATTGGGATTCCACGGTGGAGCACGCGAATCTTTGCCATCCCCATTGGGATCCTGATGCTTCTTGACACAAGTTGGGCATACACCTGGCTGCGGGTTTTGTTGCCCAAGCTGCGGGCCAGTCCTCGTCATATGTGCCTGTGGATTGCGGGGTGATTCAATCTGGCGACCAGGAAAGGCCGAGAACAAGTCAATTATTGGGTCCCTACTTCAGCTCTCGGCCAAGTAATGGATACGAAGTATTGCAAAAGTCTATCCGGTTCTATTCGGAACAATCGCTTCTCGGGGTTCGACCGTTCTATCATTCCTGCTGGTGATGATGGCGATAAATGGGCCATTTGGATAGACAAACAAGGATTACGCTAGGTTAGAGAAGCAAAAGAAAAAAAAAAAAAAAGGAATATCAGAGGCTAGTCCTATGCGGCGCATACCGGGAGATACCGCGTACGGAGACATTGTTTGCAGCCCAACAAATTGTCCAGAAAGACTTGGAACCTGTAAATGATTTGTGGAATACAATGGCTAATGTTTTCTGTCACGTCAGAGCAACACGTACTCGCCTCTTCATTGATCGGAGGGTTACACTGTCAATGCAGTAACTCTTGGCTAGGATGCACACGAAGATCATTCACCCTTCCTACATGCCTGCTGCATTGGTGATTCGATCCCCATACGTCGAGCATAATCCTAGATATCCGAGTAAATAAGGACACGAGAACTCTCTGGATAGACATGATTGTCTACTTACCTCACAGCTAAGCCGAACACCCGTTTCGATCCCGACTTTGGGTAGGTACCCTAGTATCAGCTTTGCTTTCTCGCCACTAGCATAACGAACAGAGCATGCATCCCGAACACTGCCGCGGCTCAAGGTAGTGGTTGTTCCAAAGACCCATGTCAAGAATTCACAGATCAAGCCAACAAGATAAGCCAGTGTCTTGGGGATGTGAATCTCAAATGGGGGTGTGTGGCCAAAATGGGCCCATATGGCAAGGCAAAAGTCCCTAAAGGTGATGGGTTCATTATTTTGAATAAAGAAGACTTCACTGGCTGCAGTCTTTGAAGACATCAAATTCTCAGCAGCCAGGACATGGGCATCGGCAACATTGGTGACATATGTCACATCCCACAGATTCTGGCCATCGCCGACGATGAACGGGGTTTCGCCCTTGGATATACACGCATGTATTGCAGGGACTAACCGGTCGTCTCCCGGTCCGCATAGCACAGAAGGCCGGAGAGAACATGTGGCCATTGTGTCGCTTGATTCATTGAGAACCATAGCTTCTGCAGCAGCCTAACTGCGAGGACATGTATCAGCGTATTAGAGACTACAGCGTTGAATTGCATCACATATATCAAGCGGGATATCAACCTTTGACTCGCCATAGATGAGTGAGGAGGAGGGTATAGGCCATTGTTCATCGATGTTGTGGTACGGTACGTCCATTTGATCCGTCACCACACAGCAAGAACTGGTGTAAATAAAGCCCTTCACTCCACTCTGTTTAGCGGCCTGCAAGATATGCTCTGTTCCTCCAACATTAGTCTTCCAAACAAGCCCTTCAAGCCTTCTTCCAAATCGTTCACTCAGGGCTGGGACAATTCCGGCCGCGTGGATAATAACATCCGGTCTGGCTTGCTCTATTGCCTTGCTGACCTCCTCCTGTATAGTAACATCAACCTTGATATATTCAATACTATCTGGTACAGTATGGACCGGTCCAGGTGGCTTGATATCTATGATGGTGATGGCACACTCGGGATGTTTCTCTGCAAGAGCTCTTGCGATGGCCGCACCGACAAAACCGGTGCCACCTGATATCAGGACTTTTTTCATCGTGCACATCTTACCATGCTACATTTGGAGATCTGGATTGATGTGGGAAGACATGAGTGTTTTGAATATATCAGCAATGAAGCCTTTGTAACCAGCAAAAGTATAGGTTAGATTGTGGGAGTGTTGTTTCTTTTGTCCTCCGCAAGAATTCCGTTTCTGGCTAGCCCTTCCCCTAAAACGTCACCTGGTATATAGATCCATGGATGTACCTCCCAGCTGTAGGTACCATAGAGCCACCGCCTCCATCGAAAGCTCTGAATTTTTCATGACTTATTCTCCTATTATTTGATCTAGTCAGTCCCATCCAATTCCAAGCCATGTACACAACGCTGTATAATAGTAGTAAACGGCCCAAAAACGGTTATGTCATGGACAGAAGCACAAATAAAGGAAAGTAAGTAATACATGAAGTCGATCCTATGTTACTGTACAAGGTATCCATCCCAACTGTCGCAAGCATAAAAAGAAGAAGATACAAATCATGGGCGGAGGCATTGCGACTGGCCAAACTCCGGTTTAAATGCAAAACCCGCAGCATCCAACATATATGAAAGAAACGCTCTATCTTGTTCTGCCTTTCCACATCCATCTCAATTATTTAGAGCACCCGGCAAAGGACCAGGCCTCCCACCTGCTTCTCGACACACTCTCGCGCTTCCATGATACCGCGGTCCGTCGACAAATATAAACTTTCACCGGGGGACCGCAAACCTTCTACATATCCACTCTTTTCTCCGCGAATCACTTCTCGAAGGCCTGCAACATCGATCGTGACCCTTCTCTTGGGCTTGCTAACCACGCTCATCTTGCCGAGGACGGGATCGCTCTGCCAGTACTTGAGCCCGAGCCAAAGACGCCTTGAGGCGACATTGCTTTGAGTCAACGATTGTACACCTTCGACTTCATCATTTACCGAGGGGACACCCAGAAGAGTATGTTGAGGAGGGGGAGTCGGGCCTCCGCGGACGACCGAAGAGATGTAGCCAGAGTTCTGGAGAGCAAGGCACAGTTTCAGGTGTAGCTTCGTGTTCGGGATGGATGTGAGACCCAAACGGGCCTTGGTGGCGTTGTTTAGATGGGAGCAAACGTGGGCGAGATTGACAAGAGACATTTTGGATCGTAAATTGCCGAAATTGGCCCAATTGAGGGGACCCCTTGAGTGTTCCGACGGTGTGCGGGAGAGCCAATAAATCACTGGGTACGGGGGAGCGTAGGTATGAGCACTACTGTTCCATTGTGAGATAGGGAAGAGGACAGATACACCTACCGAAGACTAAACCTCTTGGGAAGAACGACTCGCAGGGAATGACAGCAAGAAAGCTCCCCGTTTCAAGTGTAAGATCTCCGTAATCAACGTTGATGGGCCGTGAAGTTGCGATGATGCGGAAGCTCAAATGAAATTTTCGGAGAAACGATATGACGGCTCCGACGGGGTGTTCCTATAGGCCGCCAGCCCAGTAGGGCATCAACTAATCACGGCGCCAGGATGCATCTCGAAGCGCCCTCTAGCCGCCGGCCTCTTGGACACTACAACTTATTCCCCCTCATTGAATCGTTCCATATATAATGTTGTCCCCAAGTTCTCTATCGCGTACTTCTACGCATGTCTATTCACCTCCCCCTTCAAATATACTCCCACCCCTCGCCCCCATCGCAACTACTCTTTTTTATACTACACTACTCTGTACTATACTATACTGATAAGCCATCATGCCCCCGTTGCCGGGTGAAGAGCGTGCGCTGACGGTGTAAGTCGTACACTCCCCCCGCAAGATCCCCCTCTCTTTCAAATGCGATAAGCTAGTCTAACCCTCTCATAGCTTTGCCGATATTCATTATTATTTCACAACTCCGACTCCCAAACCTCTCCATCATCGATTTGATAAGGGCTCCTATCTGTATCTTTATCACAATGTGGTGCAGCGCAAGACGAGAATTGAAGTAGCGAATAATCCTGGAACTCGTGACCAAGATGCATTCAATGGCGGTTGGTGCCCTTTTCACCCATCCTCCGCATAGAGTGACTCTCCTCGCTGACTGATGTCCAGCTCTGGATCAGGTCTATTTACGCCATTCCGCCCAGTTTCCAACGCTGTGTACTTTAACCGTGGATGGCCGTCCGCCATCACAGGGCGCGCAGGCGTTCCCTCCACCACCGAATGCCAGTCCTCATGAATGGTTATTACCAAGCACTGATCCGCGTGATGAGGACAAGGAACTACGTTTGCACACGCTGGACATCTATTTCTGGACCTCAGATGATGCGGATAATTTCCTCAACCTGATGGAAAGATATCTGTCTCCCTCACAGATCGAGACAGACAGGCATCCCTATCCGCCTCCACAGGCGTCAGTCAGTACGGTTGTACAACAACTAGAAAACGTGGCCATCACAGATCCAGCGTACCAGAACGGGCAGACTCGTAACTCTCAATCAGAACCTACACCCAACTCCCCACCCCCTGCCCAGACGTTCTCAATACCAAGCAATCTTCCTCCTCCACCCCCGATTGGGGGTCCGCCCGCCACAGCACAGATGACGGTCAATGGCACTACCCCTGCTGCAGAGGAACGAAATGACCCTGCCCAATTTACACCTCTACCATATAATCCTGCGGCACCAGCCGCACCTGAACCAATTCAACATCGGGAGAAGACCCCCCCTCCGCTTGACGGCGGAGATGGAACCGGACTCGCAGCGGCCGCAGCAGCAGATAGCGGAGCACCGTTCACACCACCGTCCCAGATCACCGGCGGAGGAGGCTTTGCACCTCCCCCAAACAGTCAAGGGCCCCCATACACTATGCCTGGAAGCTACGCATCACCGCCACCGAGTGCTGGCCTAACACACTCCGGGTCGTTCTCGTCTCGATCATCTATTCAGAGTCCACCCAGTGTCCCATCCTATACGCCATCATTCCTTGCCGGAGGAGCCGGGGGTCACCAGCCCAATCCCCACCAGCCAGTGGCCATGTCATTTGCTCCGCCTCCCAAGGATCCCAATGCTCATCTATACGGTCAGACCCAGAATATATATGGTGGCCAGCCTCAGATCCAACCGGCGTCTCCACCGCCACCCCCAATTGGGGGCTACTCAAACTACTCGTATGATAAGGCAGCCGTGCAGCAACCAGTGTCAAATGACTACGACATCCACAGGCAGCTGTACCGGCCCACTGAAGCAGAGGTCAATTCACATTCCCAGAAAATAGCTCAGAAGTCAATACAAAACTCCGGCCGGCCCCGAAATTTGGAGGAAAGAGCCCACCGAGTGGAGAGTAGTGTTAATAGGTTCTTGAAGAAGTTGGAGAAAAAAATTTGATACACGGAGATCAAACTTTCTGGAGTCCGTCACTCCGAAGTGCAGTATTGCTGTTGTTGCCCCTGTACACGAAACGACTATAGCACTTGCTTTTCGAAATTTCACATGGTGTTAGTAGTCTTGGGGTATGGTATCAGATTTTATCTAGAGCAATTCCCTGGATTTGTTCAGAGGTTTTGAATCGGATTCCGAGCTATTGAAAAACGGAGTTTTGTTCTCGTGCTACCCAGAACA